CACATTTCTATAGGCATAGCTAAGTTTAGCAGCTGGCGATGGAACTCCTCAAACATATCCACAGACTGCTCGCTTTGGCAAATAAAACGCTTGAATATCTCAAACTTCCCACTCTGGGATGCAGAAAAGCATTTGTGGACGAGAGCGGGCATATCTGTTTTGATCAGCGCCATGCCATTACTGCTGAAAAAGGTTTCCCTGAACCAAGCGGGAAAATCAGAGTCAAGAGCTAGGCTGTCTGCATGGCTTCATATTAGCTGCAGATTCCAAACCATAGGGAAACCATTGTCATGCCTTTCGGGTCATTGGCCCTAGCAGCCATTACCGGTATGCAAATGGGCGCAATATGGCCGAATATAGTGTGATACACTGCGAAGCTATGATCATTTTGCCATTCCATCACATAATCTGAGATGTTCGAAAACTCTTTATGCCCCGTTGTAGTATTTAAGCCCGCAGGGAGAGCATTGGTGACCATGCCCAGCAACCTTTCCAGAAACGGCACAACCAGGTTACTAACGTCCTGATTTCCTGCGACGGCGATGACCACACCATCGTGGTCGTATCCCGCTGTGATAGCCAAGTCACACCCCTGTTTTAACGCTGCAAGTTCAACGAGCGCGTTAAGGAAATCGCGGCGATTTAAGATTTCCCCCACCCCACCAGCTTTAATTACCTCAATCGGCCTATGCTCTGGGATTTGCTCTCGCAGTGCGTGTAGTAAGGAAAGGGGCTCATAGAGCCGCCGAAGCTCTGTGTACCTATGACAGACATAGGGGGAAGAGGCAGGATGTTGGACCATGTTTGGTCACGTCTTCTAGAGTCTCAAAAGAAATGTATCTGAGAATTGAAAGATCTCTGTATTCGTGGCTCTAAAAGCATTTACTGAACTGCTGGTGACTAGCTTTTCGCCGATGACTGATTGTACATTCCTCTAGGACGCGCTTGCGCGAATATATTCCAATACAATATGCGAGAATTAGATGAGATCACCTTCCCAAGTCGCCTGCCGCGTGTTGACCGTTCCCCAAACAGCAGCGTACATAACAGGGGGTAACCTACCAAAAGCTAGGTTTGTTAAATTAGAATTTTGTGTTGGATGCATGCCTAGCAATACCTCGCCTTTCCATAGCAAAGGACTAGAGTATACCAGACCCCCTAGGTAGAGTACCTAATTTCCAGCCCATACATCCTCTGAACCTTCGCAAGGTTGCAACATCTGTCGATGCATCATTGGATGAAAGATATCTGCGGGAGCCTTAACGGGAATTACCCTGACTGGCAAATTTCGAATATAGATTATATGCCTAGGAAGTCGCCGTTGCGCTCTAGAAATGCAAGGTACATACAGACGGACATCAATACGTACGCACTCATTGCAGCTGCGCCTCAGGTGACTCACAGTGAGGCTTCACCCTCCGAAGCACTATTTGACGTATGTGTTTTCTCAACCTTCATAGTAAATGGCCACCCACTTGCGCTATGCATGGCTTACAGCCGTCGGTGATAGATCATCTGCAGCTGATCAATTTGCATGACTGCCTGAGATACCAGCGCAGTGAGACTTCTCCGCGTCACTCCTCATGCAAAGCCTATGCTGATACTGACAGCCGGGATACTTCGTCCCGGATGGCCCAAACCCAGGATGTAAGTCAATGACTACCTGGCACCAACGGGAGGCTCACACCTACATTGCGATACGAGGAAAAGCTTCCTGCTAGGTCAGCCATCTGATAACTGGCTTGTTGGTGCCTGAAAGACGTCGTGTGCTATATGCACTTTCCACACTGGTGCTGGGTAGCTAGTTCAGGCTATGTGGCATTTGACCATCCTTCGACATATGTCAATCATAGCTGAGGCGAGTGTAAATGAACTGTCGACCAGTTGAAGACATACCTGTGCCCACGTAACACAAGCCCGTGGTACTAATGCTACCCGCTCATTCACACACATACACACCCACTGCAGAATCTACAAAACCAATATTTCCCTGTGCTGCGTATTTGATGATTATAACAAAGGCTAAACCTAACAACACATATGGGCCCTTGCACTTTACGTCATCGGTACCTCGGTTTGCATATCTTATTAGCAAATGGCTTCAGCTCAGCCAGGCAAATTCCATATCTGATGGCGTTTTCTGTGTCCTCAAGAAGCTAATGTTGTCCTGCATTGATATCGGGCCACCGCGATTGACAATTCCAGTGCTTATTTAGCCCACGTTCAATGCATAGTGGAGCCACGGGGAACACACTGTTGTCGCCCCCGCACCTCTACAGGAAGACAAGTAGAGATAACGCGAGAAGTAAAGCCTCGAACGCCATTCAGGCATCAGTCGATGGCCAAAGAGTGATAGTTGAAGTTAATTTCACTCCCCCACCATCAAGACGTATGCCCAACAGCGCGCGCTTTTATGCACGACCCGAACCAGTACTCATGGCAGATAACACCGGATCATTGAAATCGGCGCCGTGCGTCAAGCACGATGTCAATCATATTATGCAACCCTGAGCCAGCTGGCGAACAGTCGGCGGTCCGAGCGTTAGGGAGCGGATGCGAGTCAGGGGTTGTGGTTATGCTTCACTATTGGCTGCCTTCAATAGGCCGGATGCTAGGGTAGCGAGCTGTACGAGTGATGGCCAACACACGCATGCACTTGGCACCGTCTCTGTACTGCGGGTGCTAAAGGAATGTCCAGAAGGCTAACAGCGAATAATTGCTCCTTGGTCAATTAATGAAGTGCTGGGCAAGCATGATCTACATACCGAAAGCGCTCTCTGGTAGAGTGAGAAATGGTGATTTATAAAGGGCCCGCCTTTACTGGAAGCTGCTCTGGCAGCAGAAGAACATAGCGGCTTACAAGTTTATCCTACCCACTAGTCTTGAAAATGTCTCCAGCGCCGTACCAGACCGAGGACCCCTACACTATCGCTGGTAAGCTGTATGCCATCCTAAGGGAAGGTATGGTGACTGATTGGATTGGCACCTAGATTTCGAGATTGGAAAGCGACTGTTTACAACGCATATGGCTGTACAGCTAGTCGTGGGCTCACCAGAAGGTAGAGAAAGTGACGCTCTAGTGAGTTTTCTTTACCACTCCATAGTGACGTTTTGGGATCACGGATGGCTAACGACGTTCTAGTCCCAGTTCGACGCCCTGATCGCTGCCTATGACTTCAAAGAAGCTATTGCGACTTTGGTTAAAGCTGGCTTGGATGTTCCCCGATCGGACTTGGTTTGTGATGAGACCTATCAGGACGTCCTCTATAAGATCATAGGACGTACCAGACTGGGTGACTCGGACTCTAAAGAATCCTTTCCCACATTGATCAAGCAACTCCCACTGTTGGACTCATTGAATGGTGGGGTGGACCTCACCGTTGCTGCCATCACTGATCGGGTAGCGACTGGGCTTAGCACTGGTCCTTCAGGTTCAGAGGCTGACAATTGGAAGTATACATGTCGCTTGTGGGAAGATGCACAAGTGACGGGGGAAGAGCCAAAGGCAGTGGAAACATGCATTAGCAACTTTCCAACCAAGTTTCGTGTCACTATTGGGTATTGTGGTGTAGAAGCCTATGGTGAGGGAAGAAACAAGAAAATGGCGCGCCATATCGCGGCTAAACGTGTTTGTGGAAAACTCAACCTACGGCTAGCCCCGTGAGTTCCACAGTGAATGTGTCTATAGTCCCATTGTTTAAGCACATGGAGCTGTGTTTACTCGATAGCTAATTAAAGACTGAAATCACCCATGAAAACCAAGTAACAGAATCGGTGTACTGCTTGCTGGCTTCAAGATAAACATATGTTAGAAGTTAGAGCCCCCCCCCCCTTTGTAAAGATAAAGCATACACGCCCTGGCCCGGAAACCTGAGGAATTTCAGCTGCTTGGAATTCCAGATGAGCATGTTCAGGTATGTCAGTATATGCTTATAACGCGCTTCCAGTGGCATTTGAGATATCGGGTTCTACAAGTCAATGGGTCTGATTACACTTGGTCCTGAGCAATGCCAACTACCAAGCTCCCAAGCAGCATTACACGGTAGGAGATACGATAAATAAACTCCTGTATAATCTCATTTATGCTATCTACAGTCTAGTAATCAATTCGAGATGTGGCTTTTGGCTGTGGTACTGAGTGTTTCACCTTGGATTGGCCATCGGGTAGTAGGTGGACGGTTGCAGCCGCCAGCTGCACAAGTACACTGCGGTTTGCTTGGTCTTCCACATGAATTGTCGCCAAGCTGTCAACAGCGACACTATAGTTGATTGCCATGCACTGTACTCACACCTGGTGTATCCTTCTAGACATTCTGCATTTGGGTAGGAGCTGGCCGTTTGGGATGGTCTGTCACCACATTGTGGGATATAAAATGCTCAAGAAGTGGCAGAATGCCCATTCTTTCAGCTAGAGTCTCACACTTCTGTAAGCTAGCCGAAGAGTCGATATATATGGCACCGAAAACACTCTGAACAATATCGGAGAGCACTTTGAGGTCCCGAAAGGCACTCAATCCTGCCCAGGGGTATATTCCTCTTTCCCATAGATCTCCCTTGACGATGTGCAGGTGACTGGTGAAAGTGCCCTCTAGACTAGAGACCTTGGCAGAGAGAGTCTTACTCTGTGAGCGTAAAAAGTTATAAAGCAACACTCGGTCTCTAGTCCGAATGACCCTGGGGGTGCCCATACTATCAACCTCAATAGTATCGTGCTCCTTCTCCCAATAGAATGTGAGACAAATAAAGGTGAGAAACATATTGTTTGTAACGGCTGACTTTAAAGATTGGAGCCTTTTAGAGTTGATAAAGCTCTTCTGTCGATGTAAGTACCTGACAACTACCAACTCAATAATGCTAGCCCCAAGAAATGACAGACGTCGATATGATGTTGTTCCGTAGAGTCCCACACAGGACGGGTGTGTCATTGATTCTATTGCCAAACTCGTATCTGAAAAAGTGTATCCCAGGAGCCCCTCTAGGTCTACGATGGTTGTGGCACCCAGTGACTTGGATGGCCGAGACTTAGAATAAGTGCCATCGTAGAGAGACATCGTAGTCCAGGATTTGATCTTGGGGATCATTGCTGCTACACATATAAATGCTTGATCCAGTCCGTTGTCCAGATAGGCAGCACCTGCCAACGCTTTGGCCATATCAGCAACAGTAGCGGCACCAACCTGCCTCTGACTGTTTCGACTGGGGTTTGACAATGTTGTTGATACGAAAGCTGGCCGCCACCGTTTCCCGTTGAACCGTGTAGTTATCAGGTAGGGTCCAAACCCAGAGTGGCAAATTGCCGTTGTGAGCCCTGTATCTGACACAATGGAATCCTTCATGCTGGTCAAAAGACCCTCGTGCCACAGAGTATGATGCAGAAATAGCTGTCTCGTTATGAGGAACTTTGCGATCGCATCCCCGATAAACGCCATAGAGCGAAACTCGGGCCGATGCGCATCATCGGTTGGGCTGAGGGCAATGCATAGCAAGTCCATTCGTTCAAAACGAGCTGCTTGGGGGTTTGAAAAGATCTCTTTCCTTAATCGTTCCGCGATCAGATATACTCCAATCTGGTGAATTATGCTCGGAGCTAGCAGGGCAGCTTCAGCATAGATAGACGGCAGCCGATCTACCAAGTAATCTTCAGCTGCCAACTCGCTCAATCCCTGTCCGACCAAACTTGTGGATTGCAGCTTATCTGTCGGTGTGGATGTTACCGTCTTTAGCTCATTGAGAAAGTTGCGACGTCGAGTCAATTGATGTATCTTGCCTCTAATTGGTAGGGTTGCCCCATCTCTATGAGGGCCCTGGTTCTCGTGTCCTTCTATGACTTCGATACAAAGTGGACGACAGGCCTTTGTAACATGGCGCAAGAGGCCGATCGAACCGGGCACATTTCGGCGCTGCTGTAAGCACACGGCCAGGCTTGTCCTTCCGGAATGAGCCTCGAAGAAATCAGACATCCCAACGGGATCCATGTTTGGGACAATTATGTTAACATAATCTGTGTTTGATTGGGGCCCGTGGCCTTGATGTACGGACTGTAGAATTAAACGTGTCACCTGTTGACATATCGAAATGTCCGTGGAAATTGCCCTAGCCGAGCTGACGACCGCCGTATACTCCATGTTGGAACTTAGAAATAATGGAATACGCATATCCATCTTCAGTGGGACTGGGAGAATCATGAAAAGTTCAATGTCCTCTTTCTGTGGTCTAACAATGCGAAGCTCATGACGAAAGAGCTCCCCTCTTCGAGACCAGAGTAAAGCAACATCATACCAAGGGTCTAGCTGCCCAGGTATGAGGTAGTGCGACCTTGGCGGGATAGTCTTTTCAATAATGTCTGACACTCGCAATGGTAGAAGGTGATCATTGATGAGCCCAGCGTGGAACAAGCCTTTGTATGCTTGCAGGGCTGCATCTTCCTTTGCCCACCTTTTCCTCGCCCATTTCCTGAGACTTTTGAAGGTCTGAAGAGATGCGTCAAGGTTGCTGGGTAACCTGACAACCGCCTGTGCCTGGCCGCACTCGTCCATCTCGCAGCTAAATACAGGGTTGTTGTTCACAAACAGTTGTGCTGGCAATTCCGAGCAGAACCTATACAGGTGGCTAATGGAATTTCCCATTGTCATTTGGGCTCTGTTTCGTCAGATCAGGAGTCTACAGTTTAGAGGGACATGTACACACCCTGTGGAAGACCTGAAAACTAACTGGTCTCTGAGCTGTTCATCATCTTTCGAGTTGTCTGGTGCCACTGTCCTTCCGTCATCCTGAAGTTTTCGAACCAGCTCACGCTCCAAAGACTCCAGGTGGAACACATTTTCTAAGTCCTCTTCATCTCGAAGGATGATGATGAATTTAGAATGCTCTCTCCGTGCGCGCCCCCGACGCTGAATGAATGATTTTAAATTCAAGGTACAGTTGAAGTTCAGGACTGTGTTGCACGCCGGTATATCTATTCCTTCCTCCAGTGCGTCAGTGGTTATAATGAGGTCGAGTAACCCATCCCGGAACTTTTGAAGCGTTTCCATTTGGCTTCTAATGTCATGAACATCGCCGAGCTCGGTTTTGCTTTGGTGAATCCGGGACATACCCACAAATGTCCCGCAACGAAGTCGTTTGCGTGTTCCTGGGTGATTTTCTATCAGCCATTTCAATGCCAGTACAGTGGCTCGCTGCGAGACAAATATCAGAGCACGGAATCCTTTCCTATGTTCCTTGATCAACGTATCAAGTAAACATTCGCTCATGGGTGAGATATTATCAGAGTGAACCAGCCCCCCGTAATGTTCAATATTACCTAGCTTACAAAGCACTTCCATGGTATATTCTTGCTCGGGGCTCGGAGTGTGTGTTATCTCGGCATTCAATCGCATGTGTTCTTTGAATTGAGTAATTGACGTCTGAATGTAATTCGTAGCGGCCCAAGATCCTAGCTCCCTGCCTATTGTTTCCGCCTTGTTACCAAAGCGAGTGAGTTGTCTCTGTGACTTCTTCGAATTTCCATTTTGTTCATGTGGTGATTGTAGAAGTTCACGTAGTCTTTCTAGTATCAGTGACCCGTTTGTATTACCCAGCGAGCTACGCAACGGCACTCGTGGCTCAATCGACAGTTGGTTCGTAAATTGTAACAGCTGCGCGTAAAACTGGCGCGGCGTCCTGCATGGACTGTGTAGCCTTTTTTCAACATCCCTTTTGCATACCTGTCAGGTCCTGATCTCGATCCTGCTCATCATGTCAGATGCATACATACTGTAAGGTGGAAAGGTCCGACAAGATTGGAGATGCTGTAAGGCCCAGTATGTGTGGTCTTTCGTGATCAAGACTCGGTGATTTAGCGGGATAGTATTCTCGCATTATTCTGCTGGCAGGATGGTCATTGGTGCAATGATGAGCTGGTGGATGTGTCAGCTGGCATCACATAGAGAACACCGTCCGTCTTCTCTCCAGCACTCGCCTTCGTCAAATATAATCAATGATAAGCGGTCCATAGTTACAAACCTGTGGACCAACGCATCGTAAAGAACCTGATAGGTCGAGATTGCAATCTTAACGTTGGCCAGGGCAATGTTCCACGTTTCAACACTCCCCCAATGGTCGACGTTATCGTTACTGGTAAATGATCTACACCACATGGGAGGGACGTGGGCAGTCATGGTACGAACATGCTGGTTGCATAAAGCGACGGTCGGACATAAGAACCAGATAAGCTGCTGGTGATTAATTATACTATCTATATAGCAGGTAAGGGCACCTTGCCTTGTCTGGGTTTCCTCGGTCTATCTCTGCGAGTATTCGGTGTACGGCACTTGTTGAAGTCTTGAGCACCACAAACTCAACAGAAGATGCGTACATTTCTTACATTTGTGTTTTCCCCGTCCCCGTGGGCATCTTCAATTATCTGTTAGTTCATTTTCCTTCTAGCGTTGGATGTAGAAAAAGCGAAAATGGCCCCACTCACCACCACAATCAAATTTCCTTCTAAACTCTTATTCACCATTTCGACTTGATAGTCCCTGATGCGAAGGTGTCCTTCATCGTCATCGCGTGGGATAGATTCCTGGGTGTTATTCACGGTAGATGCCATGTGGTACTATGTGACAGACTGTTTCACTAGTCTGAAGATGCGATTCTAACGATGGCCACCACAGCACGTTGCCATGTATTCATATATGTTACAAGTCTCATAGGGAGAAATACCTGTCGAAAGCTACACCATGCAGAACGTAAAAGATTGCAGATGGGAGGCAACATGCATTTTCTGCCCAACATCGATTTTACTAGAGCTGACCTGAGACTGTGGTCGCCTCGTTCTGAACACGTATCTAGCATGACGCCACGCTGCAGTGTTCAGCCTTGCATCGATTAAGTGGGAAACAACAAATGATTGTCGGATGTACCCCTCCACTTTCGTTTGTCGTCTAATGATATGTGCTTGTTCTAGATTACACGGGCGGGGGAAACGAAAAGAAAAGAGAGGCAGAGGGAGAGGCAGAAGAGCATTTCGACCTCTGATCATAGTGTCCACACTGAGTAGACTTCCACTCGATGTCATTCCATGACAATATTACAGACCCTAAGCATCGGCAATAACCCTCTCACATGATAATAGCCCAGGTTCAAACACATCTGATCCCCATAGTATCGAGGCCACCAACCCGTGCCTTCTGGTAGTTGAAGTTTCATAATGTAATTAGGAATGGTATGGCATGGCGTTCGAGCGTAGTTGGTATGAGATATGACGAAAGTAACAGGCCAAAGACGCTACTCTCTTATTGAAGGTGTGATCAAGACTAGAGAAACTGAGAAGGTTGACGATCGTCACAATACGCCTGAAGCCTTGGCATCTGCTTAAAGCTAAGTACAGCTGTTCCAAAGCTAGAACCATGTATTCGCTGTAAATGTATATCATTCTTCTGTTCGAACTACGGCAGGACAAGAGCCCCAACGTGTACCTCACGTCTGGGAGGCCCCGAGTGGTCAGATATCAATGAAAGGAATTCTATGTATAAAATGGCAATGAGGCTGGATTGAATGATCTAGGCTTTCTGCTTTCGCGTTCCGGCACCGGTCGTATGCCCATGTTGGTTTTTGTAATGTTTCCGCAAGTTGTCCTTTCGTGTGAAGGGTTTGGAACAGAGGTCACAACAGAACGGCTCCATGTTCCATCGATTCCTGGCCCACTGCTTGTGCGCTGCCATGGCGTGCCGACGAATATCTCTTTCCTCTGCAGCTCGGACGGTGCACTGAGGGTGCGGACATAGAACCGGCTTATTGTGGGTCCTCATATGCTTCCTGATATCATCAGAAAAGGTGCCAAAGATTCATACAGGACAAGGATCTTACGTCAGGTGCGCCATTAGCTTGAAGTCCCTCCTATTCTGACATCCCGGATAATTGCAACGATAAATCGTCTCTGATTTGGTGTTAGAACGATCATGCGTAAGGCTTCTAGTTTCTTCCAAGTCCAAATCACACTTTGACAGCGAAATAGGGAAGGGTGGCTCGTGGTTCATCGAGTCAGATATCTCAGCAGCTTTCATTAGATCAACAGGTTGAAAAGCACCCCCTATGTCAGACAAGGCCTCGGACGGCTCAGTACTCTAAGGAGACTGATGGACGTCTTCCGAGGATGCAATGACTTGAGGTGGGTACTGTATTGGAATTTGATTTGGGGTTAAACAGGGGTATGGGGAATGTTCAAGTATTGTGCTGATGATAGCTAATTGCTCCTCAAGATCTGGAACTGCAAAGGTGTCTCCAGCTGCCACGGGATCGTCTGATATTTCGTTTGTCGATGTAGTCATATCAGGGCAGCAAGTCATGTAGTCATAGCAATGAAGGGGATGTGACGCCATGGCTGAACTCATGCGCGGGGGAGGTGAACAGGAAAGACAATTTTACTTCATGGTACAAACACCCGGAAGCTAACTGACTGTTACTTCTCACAACAGGTGCCGTGGTGTGCGGAAGGAAACAGGAATATAAATACCCACCAGGTCGCTGGTGCTAATTCCCACTATGTTAGAAATTCGTTGCAATGTGTCAGCGTTAGGCGGCAATGGTCTTGGGGCTGTTAGGGCTACCGTTAAAATCATGTACCTAGTAACCCCTCACCACGTCACCGCCCGCTAACTTCCATTTGATCGCGCACGCACTACAATAATACCACACACTAGCATCGCACTAAAAGGTACATACAGCAGACACATCACATATCCGTCAACGGAGCAGATAGCACGTCACATGCAGTACATAGCCAACACATTATTACTGAGAGTGACCGAATTACACACCTGCTGCACGTTACCGTAGATGGGGCGACTCTCAGCTCCAGGACGTATTAGCCTTATGTACAATAATATAAGGGTAAATTTGCTAAAGAGGTCATGCATAAGTCTCGGGCCCTTGTCGTTGGGGTGCGGTTTCTATTAATCCTCACAACCGTCGTCCCAAATCGGAGGAAAAACTCCTCGAGAGTCTGTTTGGTAAAGATAATTAGTTTTGTAAACATAACATGGAAGAATGCACACCTTGTTTTGAAGCTGAACAGACATACTCGTAACAACAGACTTGCTATTGAAAAGGAGGAGCCCCGTCTATCTCTGGTATTACGATTTCAGATACGTAAAAGGTACCACTCCAACTAGCCTTCTGTCTCGCATATATCTCCTCTACTCTTACCTCATACGAGGCGATCATTCTACAGGTGAGATCTCTTGAAGACTCCAATCTGTTTTAAAGGCATATTCAATTCTGCCAGTCGAACCTTGTTCCGAATTGGTACTCAAATCCAACGAATTCGCCTACATGCAGGGTGCAGTTAGATCTCATGCAGTGTCACAATCCAGGATGACAAAAGGTAGAAGCCCATGATCACGGTTGGATCAGTCTGATAGTGGTAATGAAGCTTTTGAGGGTAAGGTTCTTTAAGCCTCGACAATGACTCGGAAAACGGTATCCCACCCTTTCTGGTAGTACCACAATGGACCTGGCAAAATACAATTCATGTGGTGTAGAATGGCTAGTCGGCAAAGAGTCCAAAGCAGCTGTTACTTGACCGGGGAATAGTTTGATACTTGATGGAAACCGTCCGTCAACCGTCAACCATCGTTCTGATGGCATCCAACACATCCCAAAATGTAAATAAACAAGAAGGTGACAGCTATTGCCATTGTGATGCCAGTCAATCACTGACCGTCAAGTGAGAAGAGGAAGGATGGTATGTAGATCTTTTGGTTGTTCCAATATGTAGCTGTTGCCTATTGTCTCGAGCTGGAGCACAGGACAGAGTTCTTGAGGTTCGTAAAGCATCATCTCTATAATCTGCCCAGCTGCCTGGCTCAGTGCCCGTAGATAGTTTCCTTGGGAACGATTGAGGATTGAAACGATTTGGGGAAAGATGCATTCCGGCACCTTGGAGAGCCTGACAGCTTGTTAGCCAGAGCTTCAGCTGTCCCATATAGCACTTACATATTGTCAGATAACTCCAGACCTGGCTGGTGGGGATGCTGCGGATAAGGTATCAATGCAAGAATACCCTTGCCGAAATGCTCCTGTAGGGTGTGAAATCTCCGTGCAAGTAATCGAAGGTTGTTAACATCCTTGTACCCCTTCTTATACTCTGACGACCCTGGTTCGAGACCAGGAAGCATTTTCTTCATCATCGCTGTGGTCATTTCTGACTCTGCATTCTTGAGGGGATTGCCAGCCCGTTTGATACCCGAAGCGTTCAATGCTGGGATTGCAATAAACCTTGAAACTGATGGTGTCTCATGTCCACCACATGCTTCGAATAAGTGTGAGATGTGGTATCTTCGAAATAAATTCAGCCCCGTGATTCTCTGGTCTATGAGGGAGATGTTGGCATATGTCTCTGCCTTCGATGAATGTTTAGAGATCTGCAGATGAGGCATGTCGGCCCTCGCTCGCCAGGTTTGAATTGCCTCCTTTAGGAATAGAACTGACAGCGAGCTGCCAGAACCTAATATTAGCCGTTTGGAAACCTGTTCCCATTGTTTCAGATCTGGGTTTTGGATGGCCATCTCGATTTCTGCGGTAAAGTACGATTCCTGCGGGGGCCGAAGACATTTCGCGTGACACTTCATGGTTTCTTCCTCGAGGAAGCATACCATTGAATTGTACCTTTGCCGTCGACCTTGCTTTATCTTTTGTTGACTATCGAATGAGATGTTCGCAGATCGTTTGGACTTGCTATCTTGTACTGTGTTTGGTAGTAAATCGACCATCGTGGCACAGCTGTCATCGTTCCCAGAACGTCCAATAGGCAGATGTGGATACCTATTTATGCTGGCCAGGAACAGTGTTGGATCCACCGCGTTATCCTCCTGCGTGAAGAAGCTACCATACTCCTTATCAGTCTTGGTGCAATCAAGATCCGTAAATAATGGCTTACCCTATATGCACCAATATCTGCCACGTACGTGGATAGCTTCCCCCACAGTCGAGATGTGCGGCTGCAATAACCGCTGCCATGGTCTTCCCGACTATAGTGTGACGCTCTTCACTGGACTGCGAGTCGTATGGAACGATCCTGTCAATCATTATGCGCTGGGCGACTGAACTAAGATGAGCGTAGCTACACAGCCTTTCCTTTACTGCGGCGATATCGCCTTCTCACTGTCAGATTGATTGAACGTTCAGGATCTTGGAGGTCCTTACTTGGTTGAATCTTCATCTCATAACCATATTGCGAAAGACACGAACGAATCAAGTCTATTCCACAATCCGCCAGCCGTTCCCCGTCAGTCCCAGGGGCCATAAGAGCTTTGGAAAGGTGGGTCTGTAACTCCGTTGCGTAGCCTAGAGTATATGCGACCTGTTGAATGGTGCTATTGATGTTCATCCTGTGAAATGAATTGAGTAAATGCTACTCTAACAAGGCAAAGCGTTTTGATCGCAGATATGTTTGGATGTTTTCGCTGAAGATGGTTGAGGTAAATATAAATCCACTACACCGCCAAAATATATCGAGTAGCCCTCCGTTTCCGTTGAGCATACAGCATCCAATTTGCTAAGTGTCACAATGATGCCCAAACAATGTCTACACCCATCCGAATAGCCCGCTGCACATTGGCTACAATGGTTTTCCTTTATTCCCATTGACGTCATGATGCTTAGTCGATTTATCGGCTAAACACACAGGAAAGGACGGCCAACTAAGCATCCCATGCTTGGACCTATAGGATTGCCGATCTTCTAGCTATGCAAGGCCCATCAGCTGCGTGTAGGCCCCGGAAATGATCAATGTTACTGTGCATAGAGACGGCCATAGTAGAGCCCCGCAAAGAAAAGAAATGGGCTGCTTTCTGTAACTCGCGTTCGCATAGAGGCCTACCACCACATGTTTGCAAGACCTTCGGGTTAGATGTACAACATCAATTATCTCGCATTCGCCTGAACTCAAAGCTACCCTACGTTTATTTATATCTTAGGGCCTAACGTCTAGCTGCAGGCCACAAACATATATATATTTTCATTTTTCATTTTTCATTTTGGTATTTCAAGATTGACAAGATATTTTGAAGAATACCTTCGTCAAAACCTCTAGTCTATATCGTCATCAAAACAATAGATCGAGACTCGGGTGCCCCAGGCCTAGCCAGATAGTATGAGGAATAAAGCTACCCAAACCCAATATCATAGATTGTTATACAATTTAATATATGTGGACCCCACATGAACTTTTGATAGGCAGTTGTGGTTGGAAATATGGTAACAGTTCTACATACATCGCGTGGCTAGGTACCGATTGCCATACAATCAACTAGATCTGAGATCTAACAAAGTGATATAGCTTCTTTCCCGGGCAATCATGCCAGCAATGGGCTAAGTTTAGGGCCACTGGGCCGAGCTTTGTAAACACGTGGATGCTGATAACCCATTTTATTGACACATTACACGGGAGGCCCATCATGCAGGAGGCCCATCAGGGAGGCCCATCAGGGAGGCCCACCATACCGAAGGCCCACCATACCGGAGGCCCACAATACCGGAGGCCCACAATACCGGAGGCCCATCATGCAGGAGGCCCATCATGCAGGAGGCCCACTATGCAGGAGGCCCATCAGGAGGGAAGCTCTATCATATGGGAGGCCTACAGGATGCTAGCTCCGAAGGGGTGGGGGTGGTTCTGACCCCTTCGAAACTGGGTCCCCAAGGCCTACTAAATGGTATTGTTGGTATAGCGCTGCTTCGTCAGGAGCCGCTTTAATTGAACCTACGGGTGAGTCGCGTACAGCGCGATTCCGAGTCGGTATACCAACGACCGCAGACCACGCTAAAACTCGCCCTTGGCTTTTTAAGTTTATTTGTATTTTGCTTGTTATTGAATTATCAAACAAAGCTCCTACTAAATGAACTTGATCGTCTCCATTGCGGCCTCTTCGCATCATTCCAGCTAAATCTCTTTCTTTCTTTACATCTTACAAGCTAGGAGCTAGAGTGGAACTAATTAGCCTTTGGTTCATCAAGGTATCAATTCATTTCTATTATGACAGTATGCCGAAAGGAGGCGAATATCAAGCAACTTAGCATCAGGCGAAAGAAATCTTTTCATTTTAGTCTCTCATTGTACATTACACATATGGTCATGGTCATTTACGCTTTCGACGCTGGACAATCGAACTCCTTGATCGAGATATCATAACAATAACTCTTATATGTATATGTCTCTAGGACGGCAGATCAAACGAGGTGTGTAGCCGTCCAATAGATATCTTCAATAATTTTGACAATCTATAATGACTGCCACTCTACCTTCATTGGTGTATTTGACGTAAGAAGAGTAGTAGCGGCTCTCCAAAGAATGGTATATTTGGCTTCACTCGTCGCTAGACCTGTTTATAACATGATCCAAGGAAGAACACGATACAACTCACACACCTACTTAGTCTTCATCATGGCCCTAACTACTTGACCGTTGACCCTGCATTGTGAGGGCTAAGGATTCAGGTCTTCTAACCGTCTGCTATATCAGCAATGGCACCTGCATATTAGTCTGCCCTACCTCCGGGATGCTTCCTATCTTAACTTAGCTTGAAGCTATTCAAGCTCCTTGCCAACGCCATCTTGAGTACTTCCCCAAAAGGGTGTCCAAAGTTCTTCCTCATCTACCTGATTAGATTTTATACTAAGAATATGCCCGTATCTGTCTGTTGTAGTAGTTTATTCTGTCCCTAGATCCCCATATTGTTACTCTGCTTAACGCCGTGTTATCCTCCCAGCCGAATCTGTTCATCAATTCAACCATTTGCATCACGTACAGGCAGTGGCTCATTATATCTAATTCGTCTCCTCAATGTACTTTATTCCAGTACACTTGCTATTTCCCCGCCATTATACCGGCTCGACTTCCTTTTACCTTTCCCCTTTTTCGATTTCTTCAATCCTTCTGCTCGAGCGGTGGGTCCTCCATTGGCTGATCTGCTATATGATCGTAGTCCGATTCAGCGGCTTTCTCTGCAAGGGTTGGCTCATCCACGAGAGGGGGAGTGTCATCGGAAACTTGAGAAATAACATTGTGCATGCTGTAACTGAAACGAGGATTGTCCACTGACATGTCTATAAATGAATGGCTGTCGTTTTCGTGAGGATCAGCAACGCTGTCTTTCGGGGTATCAACAACTTCCAGACTATCCGGCTTGTCGGATCGATCGTCGTCAATGATGTCTATATTATAAAACCTCATTAGTTGAAGGTATTGCCTCTTAGGGTGGGCGACACTCACCGAGCCCTTGTATACCAATAAACCTTCTACAAGTTTCAGATCCCTTGCGCAGGATGTGCAGTTTTATAGAGAGTTGATCTCGGCAAGACTTGTTCTCTGTTGACTCTCCTGCAATACGCGTTGCGAGGTCATCAGGCATATCAAACACAATTAACGGTGCAAACATATCTGCCAGTGGCTTGATGAGATTGGTTTCGATGACCTCGATCGCCACACCATCAATAAATCGTTTGAGAGCGACCTGATAGAACTTAGTAAGATGAAGAAGGTAATCCTGGGGTCCCGGACAGACGGAACTGCCTTACCTTGTAGTACGCAAGCATGCACTCAAGCGCCTCTGTGGCAGCAAAGCGGCTCATGTCAGACTCTGTGGACTGAAGGATTGAGTTGTGAAGACGATGCAGATCGTATGATCTTTCATCCAGATAGGCATCCTGAAGATATGGGACGCCAAAGAAGTTGCAAATGATTTTTGAGAGACTATCTCCCCAAACTTCGCGCCGGGCCTGCTGAAGATTCTCGGTAAAATAGTGATTGTATGTGATCGGATGGCCGTGCTGATGGGGCTGAAGAAGATCACTGGTTCGCTGCTGCAGGTCCTTCAGGAGCTGGTCAAACCTCGGGTCTACAACCTCCCGGAGCAGTGCTTTCGAGGTAGTAATATCACCGATGTGCAGTACAACAGCTCTAACGAACTTTTTTGCGGTATTCCAGGCTGTCGTTACGTGACCTCGCGCGATAGTTTCCCATTGGCTGGATTGTTCACGGAAGAGCTCACCTATTATTAACGGATTGAATGTTCCAGGGAGCTCTTTGCCTCGCGTGCGTTTGAGAACTTCTTGGATATGCTGGATATAGTCTTCTCGTGTGACTAGGATCTATTGTCTCGATACTGCCTCGCCGTTACTTCCCTCTGTGATTTCACGATAATGACCGCCCGCATTGATCCTTTCAGTGAACTCTTGATTCAGATTTTGCATTACAGCACGTATCCGTTTGCTATAACCACTGGTCGACTGGGCACTATCGAAGAAGGGGTCGTCGTATGTGCCATCAGTGGCAGTCCTCACAAGGTTCTGGAAGCTCTGGCTGATATGCAAAAGATAGTACTTTTGCTCAGCTATAGTAGTTCGAGGGCGTCCAAGTCCCTCCAACTTCCGCTCACAGTCACCAACTTGGACCTGAATTTCTTCTATCAGGCTGGGAAGTTCAGTCGCAATCTGCCCAAGTAGTACCTTGCTTAGGCGCTCCCGAAAAGGCATAATAGCAACGTCAGATGAGGGAAGGTCTCGCCAGACACCCTTGGCAAAAAACTGTTCTTCCTCCACATCCCGTTCCACCAACGCCCCGTTGCTCTTCTCTGAATCCTTGTTTTTCAGTACATGCCAACCGTGACGGAAGGAGACCTCTTGATTCCTCGCCAAGGAAACAAACATCGCCTCGGTCTCCGATCCCGGGGTCAGAGTATCCGGTTTGGTAATAACGCCTAACGTCCGCGATCCGGTCTTGTCTGCCTCGCGGGCTAATTTAAGGACAATCTGATTAGCGAAATCGTTCTTGGCAGACACCACAGCCAGGATAATTGAACGTGGCTCCCGCATATAGGACTGTACAACATCCTGCACAAGTTTCACATCCGCTGCCGACTGCTGCTTGGTTTCGGAATGAATAAGACCGGGTAGATCGACGATGGTCAAATGGGGCCGGTCAGGGCCGGAGATCTCGACACGCAGGAGATCATTGGAAAACGCCTTTCCATGCGTAGAGATGCCCATGATAGCCTTGGCATTGTCGATCAGACGAGGCAAGCCATCGAAGTCCTCGAGCTCCTCATGGAATTGACTTAGCGACTGCTGTTCTATCTCTGTACGTGAATGGTGCGGCACAATGGACACGCTCACCCCGATCTGGGGGCTCTTGCGGAGGACGAGCTCTGTAGGGAATCGTGTACAGAGGTTACTTCGTACGGGGAATGAAACGCCCGAGATAGCTTCCAGGACCGAGCTCTTCCCAGACGATTGATCCCCACAGACGATGATTTGGGGCAGCGAAATATAATGGCTGATGCCCTGCAAACGCAGTGTGTCAATGGAGTCGAGCAATTCTAGTTGCTCCTTGGTGCAAAGCTCTTCAAGGGAGTTTGTAAAGAATCTTTTCAGGACCATTTTGTTCAGGCAGCACGATGGCACAACGTATAGTTTAAAGAGATGAGACTGGTAATCTCTGAGGAACAAGGGTGGACAAGGCCTGATTTATAGACCTCCAACAATGAATGGGCAATTGAATTCTAGTGTCCTACTTGGTTCCTCCTGCAAGGGCGAATTCCTTAGGATAGCTTCCATGTAAGGATCAGAATATGGTGTCAGTAATGGAAATCTCCCCGTTATGCTGCATTCATTCCTACCCTGTAGCAAGCAGAAAGCAATGCTGGTTGATTGGACTGTGGCCGCAAAGCGTGCCATGTTACCTCTGACCACATTTGATCAGGCAATTCTATTATTATTATTATTTTTTTCACTTTGTCCATCAAGGACCACCGGAATCCATCAGGGGCTCTTGAGGCGAAGAATGCATGATTTCTGCCTGTCGCCTGGATGTATTTGTCCCAATGAGGAAGTTACCCCCCCGTGAAAATTATACTTCCTGAAGTGGAATAGTGCCACGTCCAGGAGGGTGCGTCTGATGACTAAGCACCAAGCAAACAAAAGCAAAATACTATAGTTTCTTGCACTGGGCTTCTCGAATATCTTGCAATGGTTTAATATATAGGCGATCTTGATGACAGTCGTACGTAAATTGTCATGCATGATCATGACGGCCTATTGGCTGAATGCTATCTAATTGCTCATTAACAATTTAACATAGTTACTCATTTTCCTGATAGTTTATATCCTAATAGCGAGGCGAATATATATCTACCACAGAAGCTTATCCATGAGGTAGAGCGAAGGACTCCTAGGTTTGTCACTTCCCTGGCAGGTCTTGGCTTCACCATATTCCTCATCTTAATATCGCGATATAACCTTCTGGTTAATTTGTAGTGCCATACCTGGAAGTTGGGGCCCTGAGCGAGCCATTCGTGACTCTTGGCACTATTGTGATATTGCTTCCTAGTTCCTCCCATATCAGAACTGTCGTGTATTCTACCCCATATTCAAACGATAAAATTTGAACGACCTTGTGCGGAGTATATCAGTCTCTCGAAATGGTGTCTATATTTCTACAACGCAGTCGCTTCTATCGATATGAAATATATCCCTGGCGTTAGCGACGGTAACGACTATATGATTGTCTTCTATAGTTATATAGTGATATTAATACTAAAAGGATGAGCTCACCATAGATATAACGGCAACTGGCTCCTCATATCTGTTCTGCCGAGTCTATGTGGTAAGGTCTGGACTGCTACAACTGCCTGTGGTAAACTCTGTGCTACCTAGTGGTCCTAGTCCTCCTTGAGGCTCGATCTGACGAGGCTTTATCAGAGATTTACGGAGTAGAAGAATAGACTTGTAAATTGCTTTCAAGAACGAGCATTAGTCGTGCACATCGTGTTTCAAGTGAGCTATCGAGCTACATTGGCCAAAAGCCTATCGATTCCGCCTGTTTCGAATGTAATAACTGACAGATATTGCCTTAACATCCCCTGGAAATACTGTTGTCCCGGGAAGCCCGGCTCTGTCTGTTTTGAGACTCGTGTCTCTTCCGCGTACTCATATGCTGCGTGAATGATTTCTCATTCCTCGCAGATTTGGAGACACTGTAGTTGTACCTGGGAACATCTCGAATTATTAATGAACTCCCTTCGTTGGGCTTGGCACCTTCAACGTCTAACCACTTGCTTAGGGCTTGTCCTATGGATTCGCTGTCTGCCTGGAGCATAGATCCCATGTGAAGCGGTGATGACTCCTCCTGGGCGATAAAGTGGGGAAACAAAATTAAAACAGGGTGTCCACGAAGCTCTGTACCCTTGCCGTTGTTAGACCCCCCGACTTCAGCAGATAGGTGACTGTCAGAAACTGTTGTCACCCATTTAGAGGTCTGTTGCACTTTGCCCCATAATTCGGCTGCATCTTGGAGAAACTGACGAAGGTCCTCCTCGAACCCAATACAACCAGTCTCTAGTAAAGGCTCAACTCTATGGACAATCTCGGAGACAACGCTTCCAATGTTTTCGTCCACTTGCCTCTGTTCATCTGACCTAAACACCTTTACCAGAAGTGCACGTAGTAATGCTTTCTCCTGAGATGTAATTTGATCGCATCTGTCAAGGGCATAACCCATTGGCAATCGGCTAGCTGGTGCTTCGAGGCGGAGTGGCTGGAATATGTTGCGGGAGAGGTGGCTGGAAATTATGGATTGCACGCAGGAAGCACGGAGCTTTTTAGACTGAACAATAGCTGCTGCCGGAAACATCGAGAAAGGATTTGGGGTTGTAGATCCCTTCCACAGGACTTGCTGAATGGTATTCATTACCTTGTTCGTTCGATTTTGTTAGAGATCTGTATCCAATCACAAGGCAGGTCTGATATAAAATATACCTCGTTGGTGTCGGACGGAAAACTTTTATAAAAATATTTCTGAACCATATCGTGCAAGGCCGCCTCGAGCTCTTTGATATTCTGAATCCTAGCCTACGTGAATAATTGAAAAACTTCGAGGAGAGATGTGAAGCTGGCACATACAGATCAGGCCCAAAGTCCTCCAGCTGAGTCGCCCGTTTCAACTCTTCAACCTCTTGTTGACTCTGTGTGAGGCGCCCCTGTAGACCCATGATTTCCGTTTTTCGTTCTTCTAGCTCGGTACGGACCCGGCGAAGCTGCTCGGATTGATTCCGGAAGTTTGTTGACAACTCGTGTAACTTGGCGTTGAGACTTGTTTCTGTATCCTCCTTCGTCTTTTGTAACTGGTTCAGAAGCTCCTTCTCTTTCTCTGACCAGCCTCGGACTCGCTCTTCCAAGTAGTCACTGAGATATGCTTTGTCATTCAATAATGTTTGGTGCTTCTGACGCTCCTCCTCCAACTGCCGTTTGTTATCTGCTATCGTGGAATATGCTGCTTTGAGCTCATTCTCAAGCTGTACATTCTTCTGTTGTAGTTCTTCGTGGCTTTTAAAGGATTTGGCGTGATTTATTGTGTCTTCTGCTGCTGCCTGCAGAGCTTTGATAGAGGACCAAAAGGACTTATCCTTTGACTTATCTTTAGGCGTCATCTTGAACATCAACAAGTGACAATTGAGTATCACATTTGCTTCAGATAATGACCAGGAGGGAATGCAGCCCTTTTGAAGCCATAGCCCATGGCCCACCTTAAGAGTACACAAATAGCACCTCTGGGTAAATCCAGTTTTTTTGACCTGCTATACACATCGTTTATGCAAGGTAAACCTTTGAATCGAAGGTTCTCCAAATGCGAGGATATTGGCGGTCAAGACTTTCCACCCCCTCGCGTTACGAATATAACATAGAGTAGCTTTGCGATCACGTAGCATATCGATAAAGGTGGGTAGAGATAGGCCATTGTTAATGCATCTAGACAGGCACATTTTTGTTGCTGCAGTGTTCCAGACTAATGGTTATGTGTTTATGTTGGGTGTACCGTATGTCCAGGTATTACAGAGCTATGGCTTCTCCTTACTCCTTCACCTATTGTTTGACGCTATTTGCCTCGTTTTTCTATAGCATCACCCTGTTGTATGCTGTTCCTTCTCCTTGCCCCTAAAATATGATACCCAATCCGTGTTGCATTGTTAGCTGCCTATGATCTCAGGCGAGATATTACAGGAGTAGCAGGCATAGGACATCATTATTCCATCTGGAGATAGGCCTGCAAGGGGTAGGTGTATTATGGGCCCATAATGTTGGACGTTCATGCTTTGCATAGGCCAAACGTGGGAGGCCTACAACTGTGGCGCCTTTTGGAGTAACATTTTTACCCCTAGCGTGGCTACCACAAGTTTCTTCTGCTCGATGCACTCTAATACCTGCAGGCTAAACTGATGATCGAATACGTACTTTAGTATCAAGATTACCATTGAAGTTGGGAGATGTATGCTCTTGAATGGAATAAAGATGTCTCGCGTTGTGTGCTCATGCCGATGCGATGTATTCCTCCAATGTAAGGTGACCAACCCTCGCCCTGCATTGATAGATTTTGAATATACTGTGGAAGGAAGTATGCTTTAATTTGGCACATCTATGGAAGCTTTTATCAATTGCCGAGGTAAGTCACCTAGAAATTGAGTCCGACTATAGTTGGTCATGAGACTCCTAGCCAATAACTGTAAGGTTTGGCATTCATATCACTGCACTGAGGAACAAAACGCACCATCAATAAGCAAGGTTTGACATTATCAGAGATAGCTAGCTAGGAGTACAATTCTAATTGAGTAGCTAGAAAAAACCTTGCTCTGAAACATAACCAACATGTAACTGAAATGATGAACTCTTGCACGATGAAGTAGAAAACCCATGTAACTATGGAGATCCAGACACAGAAAACGTTGGAATCAAATCGAAAGGACACTCTTTCCACCATCAGATGTCAATCGTTCCCGGATTTTTATAGGCAAGATATCGGAGCCAAGTCGGTGGAACTCCACTCGGCCATCCTCCAGTGTTCCGACCTTGACGATTGCACTCGGCGCAAACAGCAATGCTTCGCCAACGCGAAGATGGACAATAATGTCAAATGCTGAGGTAGACTCCTTCTCGGCCCCCGATTCTTCCGTCTCACTACCATGGTTGCCGAAGCCACTCTTTGGAGAGAAAAGGTTGATTGCTGCTGCAGCAAGGTGCTTTTGCAACGTTCGGAGCCATTCCGGCGAGGTAAACCGATGAACAATTGTAACAGAGCACAAATTCAACAAAGCAGTCGAGACAGTCGGCTCTTGGGTAGAGATGATTACTCGAGTCCCAAGGTGCCGTTGAAGACGAACTGCTGATAATAGTGTTTCTGTGAAAATCTCGGCCTCTGCAGAGGAGTTCATATACTTCATGTTTGTTAGAAATATCCCTAAGCCCGGCAGAACTACATACCTTATGTGCTTCGTCAAGTGCAACCACCCGACCAATAGTTGGGTCTTGTTCGAGGAAGATCCCCAGGCAAATATTGAAAAGCGAGCATGCTGTCTCTGGGGATATACATGGACAGGACATATCAACAATAGTTAAACAGCCAGGCTAGATGCTTTAGCGGATACCGAAGGCGAAAGGAATTCTGTACTTACCACTGGGTCCCACATGGAGCCGTTTGCAACCTTGCTTTCCTTTGACCTCGATATGTCCACTTGCTCTCGAGGCATAAAACTCTCTAGGGTATCGAGCCGTTGCTTTAAAGGCCCCAGCTGATCACGAGTCAACCCAGAAGCGAGGACTCTTCGCTTGAACTCTTGATAATTGAATGGTGTCCCTGCCTCCTGTTGTAGTATACGTAGTTCACGAAGGATTCGTTTCACCGTGTGTATATATAGCGGTATCTGCCCATCTTTCTGTCCAATAGCCATCAGATCCATCATCCGCTTTGTATTCAAATGACTCTGATCAAGCTGTAATGGATTCACTGGTATATTAAACCTCGAATAGTAGTCCTATATCCTCCATGTTATGATATTTATCTATTAGATGATATTTTGGAAAACCTACCCTTATAGAGTGAATATTTGTCGGGGAGCAAAGTACTCGGACTTGCACATCTGGGTGCGATGACAAGAAGGCTGCTTCGCAGGGGGATCCCACTGTGTCACTGATAAACGTATCATAATGAAAGACCAGCCTGTTAGCGGCTTGGGCAACCTTCCGGCCTTTGATGATATCAGGCAATTTTCCAAAAGGCATGACAATGTATGACTCTTCCCAGAACCCTGGGAGCCACATATAAAGATGCTGGAAGGATGTGAAACATTGAATAGTAGTCGAGGGTCCTCATCCAAGCGCGTGAGAGGAGAGGCATGCTTCGGGCGAATACCTTTCAGAAGCGGGCTTGAGCCGGCTAATAACCCAAACTGTGGGATCTTAGGGTTATCTTGCCCATTTCCAAGGTTTGCATGACAAGCTAAAACACTGCTTGAGATGATCGGCGCATACGCCGATTCGTCTGAGACCATCTCGCCTCCATGGCTGGACTTAAGGAGGCCCAGATGATAACGTATGACCTCGTCGGAGAATATTGGGTCATTCAGAGCCACGTCAGATAAAGGAGGGATGGTTGGGGTGGTCCCGGAGGTTGAACTAGGAAAATCCTCAATAGAACCCATATTTGCGGATCGTTGATACTCGGTGTGATATGTTAATTATAGTCAGATATGGGAGAAGTGATGATGTTTTCAACCGTAGAGCTCTGGGTCTCCGTCCACATTTATGTTCTATGTGGACATCTTGGTAGTTCATGATACCTCAGGGCCATCAGTATCCACCACGTCTCACCCCTACATGGTTATCCGAGCTCTTTCTTAGCTCTTTCCTAGCTCATGTCGCGACTGGGGCAAGAATGCAAGGATATCCCAAGAAGGAGAAGTATGGACTGAATCGGCATACCATGGCCTACGCGAATATAGCTTGGGAGCGGCACCGTTCCACCCTGCAGGATTCAAACTAGATGTCCCTGAGAGTGATTCCTTGGAATTACGCAATCTATTCCGTTCCGGAATCCTACGGTACAGGCTACTGTAATATAACTTTACACTGTGTCTTTCTCAGCATGTACTGTATGGGGAAGAATTGCGGGCTTAAGCCCTGTGCTTTCCAGAAACCTCACCGTCGCAAACGTATCCTCACCCTTAGCTTAGGCATGCCGATCACCTTAACTATGGGCCTGGGTATGTACACTATACCCCATAGAGTAGTAAATGCACCAAGATATTCATAGTACCCTTTTGATAGAGAACGACCCCGCGCAGTTGAATAGGCATCAAGAATTATGACAACTGGTCTTTGCACGAATGGGGCAGCAAGGATTGTACTGATTCCACTCCCTGGCTGTTCGTGTCGCGGCAATGTCGCTGAGACAATCATTTTCTAAACCTCGAGTAGCAGAAGCTTGGAATACACGTTATCATTAAGGGCCTCCTGCAGGAAGGTCGTTATAATTTCGGAGTATCTGATCTAAAACGGAAACGATGCCCTATTTCGCGCGCGACCACTATGATCGAGAATCTTTACCAGTATGCACGAGCTGCAGCCTAAGCGGACGAAGTATAGATATATATGGTACTGGAAGCTATATCCCTCCCTCGGGTAGCGTGGCAGTGCATCCAACGATATCTTGGTTTTTGCTGCAACTTGCCGTGCCACTTCCCAAAGGGGAGGTTTCCGCCCCGAAGGTGTTTTATTACCAAAACAAGTATAGGATTGCCAGCTAAGGTCCCTAAAAAATATTGGCATGGAACGTATACGTCCCACCAAACAAGATTAGAGAGAATTAAGGGGAATGCAGAATATTCCGATACTTAGTCTCAAGATCAACGATATTTTGGCTTAACAGATTGGGTTTCCTAACGATTGCAACAATAGATATTCCTGTCGTTACCTGCCCATTGCGACACGGCGAATGAATTCTGACGGGTCAAACCGTTGGTCTTTATAGGTACGCACCCGACTCTACTGTATTTGTGTTGCCCGTAGATAGGCCATGCCTGCTTGTCAAAATTGTACTATTGGTTCACAAACACACGGTCTAGTTCAAATAGCGCAAAAACTATATTACTGGACTACGGATGTAAGAGGTTCCATTGACTTCGATTACAGGTATAAACACCTAGTCGAATCATTTGCCGGGCTCTTAATGATCGTGGTTCATCGCTTCACCGAATACAAGCCAATAGCCCCGGAGCGCCCTTAGGATACCTTAAAATATCTTCGGGGCACATTTGCTCTATTTGAAATATCCCCATTTCCGCCAGCCTACAGCAAAGAACGGGCTCTAGAATGGCCCAAACGGGCTCGCTGAATTTACGGAGAAGGTCGCCTTGCGACTTGTCGAGAAGTTGGATAAAGAGACGGAACTCCTTTTCCGTGGGCTTCCAGAACCTGCACATCGTCAGCTCCGTATATATAGTAGTAAACCAACTTACATGACATCTGACACACAGGGATCAAGCCGACCATCTAATGTGTTGTCCAAAATAAGCCCGAGAATTCCCTCGCCGAAGGTATCTGTCAATATGTGAAGACGCTTGCCGACTCTCCGTAGCCGGTTGAACCTTTTTAGTTGGCTTCCATAATACTCTGTATCCGGTTTCAAATCTGGAAAGATCTCCGCCATCAAGGCTTGGGTGACCTTATGCTCGTCCATATTTCTCGGATTTCCCATAGTCTTCCGAGCTTTCGGGAGCGTATCCGCTGTGTAATGAACATAGCCAGCACTAGAGACAGTTTCATGACCGCCACAATCTCGGAACATTTCAAGAATATGGTACCATCTCATAATCTGAATGATGCCAGCCTCTTGTTCTAGGCGCTCAATCAAATGCAGTCTTTGGCTAGGGATAATGTCTCGTAGACAACATGATCGAAAATTGTCATCCTTTCTTGCCCTTTGTATCATCCGACCTAGCGCAAGTATTGTATGGGGACTTGCGATACTTATTACCAGACGTATGAAAGCCTCACACAACTTCTTCTTCGGATTCATCAAGTGTTCCTGAATCTCGGGCGTAAAGTATGTGGCCTCTGGAAGCGGCAAGCATTGCTGTTCACATTTCGTCTTCTCGTTGGCTAGGAACTCTTTGAGCTCAGGATCAAGATGAAAGAATTGTGTACCTTTTACACGCTTGATCTTTTGTTTGTCGTTTCTTTCGGTCTCACTAGGCCTCTTAGGAGTAGTGGTACTTGAGCGCGGCGCTTCGGATGGGATGACAGACGGTACTGGAAATGTAGCGTGATCAGGTACACTCGAAGGGTCGATGCTAACACTTGGAAACTCTTCAACTATGCTACCATCAGGGAGAGGGTTTATCTGGAAGACATGATCGTGGTATTGAGGCTGCTGGTGAAAGTTGGGTAAGATATTGGGCTCACTTGTGACACCTGAGGTCGAGATGTTTATCGATATCCCCGGATCGTTTTGTATCGTTCCAAGAGGATCACTACATCCAAACAATGGAGGTACCGGAGCATACAGGCTGGTATGGACAGGAGAAATAAGCATATGACGCTGTTCTAGGTCGGCCACGGTTTGTGATGGTAGATTAATTGGTAAAGACTCGATGGCTGGGGGGGTCAGTACACCAGAAAAGTGGATTCCCGCAGTCAGGGCAGCGTTTGTGACAGCAGATACAGCTTCCACAATTGTCTCTGAGCCAGTTTCGAGATATTGGATATCAGGCGTCATGAAGATGCTGTTAAAGAATTGCATTAGTCGGCTGGACTCCCGAACGCTCCATAATGCTCGTACCGCGACAGAACAAATAGTGTCACTGAAATACTCCCATTAGTATCTAGAAGAACAGCTGCAATGATTGCATTTATTGTATTGCGGAGCACGGCCGTTGATTCGAACCCCGATCGGCAAGAGTACGTGATATACTTGCTGATGCCACTTCGCTTAGCAGCAAGAACAAGGTGGTCCCTCTTGGTAAGCTCCAGTTTCAACTTTGCCTTATGCTCTGGAGATATTCCCAATTCAGCTGTGTCTGTGTATCGACCATAGTATTACACCAACCTTTGTTTATACCCATGCGCATGAAAACTATATTGAGTACCGTGTCAACCCACGCGGCACCAACCTGTGCTAGCTGTCTATTACCCTCATGATTGTAATTTTCCACACCTGCAGCAGTCAGGGCTTGACGAGGGTAATCTTTGTTGGTGAAGCTGTGTAGAATGATGGACTCCACTGATTGAACCTGATCGAGAGACGCCATGGTATTATGTTTGGAATTTGAGTGTAATTTAAGGAAGGCATAGGCTCCATAGACATACAGAGGACAAACAGTTCTTATATGGACAAGAAAAGCGATTAGGACAATATAGTTCCTCAGATATAAATACCCAAAGCCCATCAGGTTATTGACGGTAGGTATTCGCCTTGAAAGGATGAGTAAACCAAGCGGTCTGGGTTGAGCAACATGGCTGAGAACCATCTGCATTTACCCCCTGGCGTCCGGCAAATACTTCAAGTGGAAAAATAGCAATATAGACCAAATTTTCGAAAGGCCAGTGTTGTTTGGTGCCTCTTATGATCGCATGCGTTAGGGTGGTTGTTTACTGGGGAATCATGCACTCACCGTGGTTTGAATTGGATTAGAGTAGATTTACCCCGAACGCCAAGTAGGTGATCCCTAACATCTGCTATTATTGACTCTTATGGATTGGTGAAAGTAAAGGAACTGCAGCATTGACCCCGTGCATATGTTGGGGGTAGGAGTGTTTCCTAGCAAGGCAACAGCCATGGAAGAACGACAGATGCTGAGCTAGTATATACGAGTGATCATAACTGTTAGTGAATGCAGTTGTCTATTGCGGTTGCGCTGCGTCGGCTGCAGCCAAGATCGACAGACAGGGCTTGGTACTGCCAGACATGGCAGGGGGCTAGCGCCCCGTATTGTTACTATCAACGGAGACGACCTGCCAGTTGTATCTCGACCCAGGACGCTTACTCCCGGCCCTCTGAATGTGGCCGATCTATCGGGAGCGGATTTGACCCCCCTCCAACTGCGTGAGCTTGCCGCGCAGTCACCTGTGCGGAGCCCCGATTTTATCGTCTTGACTATGTCCCTTTAGATCCTCGACGATCAGCTGTGGGGCTCGCTGGCGCGTGCCATGAGCCTTTTCCTTGAGCAGGGCTACTCAGTTACACTGCGACGCGTCCCGCTGGATACGTCGGAGCTGTATGAAGAGCGGTCCGTTCTCCTCCTTGCTGCCCCGGGCTGTATTTACCTTTCAGTGGATCGACGATGCCCTTTCTGATCTTCACTTGATGCCTACACTGGACGGGGTATTGGCGGGACATATCGGGACAGTCTTATTGGGCTCTGACCTACTCTGCCTATCTTCCACGGCCCCGGCGGACGGGGGCGATTGTCCAGGAATTCAAGGCGCGGGTGTTTATGCCGCGGTCGATCCTGTCTTGCCGGCTGGTTCAGTGACTGCAGGTGCGACCAGCACCCTCAGCGGGGATAGCCTGTCCATCGCGGGTCCTTACCTAAGAGGCGACTACGCTCGTCCGGGAGGAGCACGTTAGATTGTAGCCACGATATTCCGGATAATTGGGTAGTTCTCGACCAGGAATCCAACCCCGCAGCCGACCCACTTACCTGTGTTGGTTGTGTCAGAGTACTCCGGCGATTTTCCTGGAGAGGACTAAGCAGTAGAGGGTTGAGGATGTGTCCCACTAGTAGTTTTTACCGGTTTTGGCTGGTGGTATTCCTCGCTGGGATGTGGTACTGGGGGTGAAATCTAAATGTAGATAACGGGTCCTTTGCACATAACCCTCAGTCTCCATATCTGTTTTGAAATTTACTCAGGATACTCTGTTTTGTCTTGTTCGGTATATGATGAATAGTCGAACCCATATCTGTCCATAAAACTTTCTCTTTATGAAGTTAAGATTTAAAATGGCCGGTAGTGGATTACTGAGAGTAGTACAGTAGGACTCCGTATGTCATGGCCCAGTATGATGCAGATCCAAGATAATTTGATCCTGGATCAGTCAACCATTGCACAAAACCATGAGTAGCATAAACCTAACGCTATATATAACTGGGTAGTGGAGGTCAAGATAAACCATGAGTCAGGCGAACGTCAAGACGAGCAGAAAGAAGTATGGAACATACTCAATGTCGGCAGCGATTACCATACTTCACAGCAAAACAAACCTCAAATGACAGCAGATTTGAAACTGCCATGCCGGTACAGTGAAAACAACACATGACAAGATCTAGACGTAGGTACACAAAGTGCCCAGAAAGATTCCTTACACCGGCTGCCGCATAGACCTTGCCATCTGAAGCTTCTCGGCTGACATAAAACCCCTCTGGACAAGCTTAGACTAGACATGACACGCAGTGCCCACCCTTGACAATTCTCTTTGACTGCTGCTCGGTTCATTGCTCTGGGTGGCGGTTCACTTGCTGTAATCTGCTGCTCGGTCACGGTAACCAAGTGGTATAGATTCAAGAAAGATGCGGAGCTGACGACGTTGATAGACTGAGGTGATGGCTGGTACCGCATACTTTCTCCACCCCCTTTCACTTGGTATACCCAACCAGTAACTTTCTCATGTCGAACACAGATAGACCAGTAATTAGGCTCGCCAGGTCCCTGGCTCTGAAGGACTAGAATGATGTATAGAGGGTCGTGTGTAGCGGGGATAATCTGGCGATTTTCAGGCTGGTATTCGGTCCACTCCTGACTCCCTTATGCGCCAGAAACATCGGCCGTTAACCTCACATATCTCGCTGAGGCTTATTCTCCTTAACGTCGTATCTGCGTCCGGATATCCGCTCATATTGCTAAAAGGGAGTGAATATTTATCTATTGAGAGCGATGTCGTCATGGTTGCCCACATAAGTCCTCGTGCACGGTGTATCTAAAGATGTTTGGGAAAGTATCTCTTATACTGTCGTATCGGTTTGTAGGTTGGAGAAACGAACGAAAAGGAAAGGGATTGCATCCTTCCTATTTGTGTATTTCTCGGTGCTTGCTTGCTTGAAGTTAAATATAGCCATAGATGACCAGTATGCAGCTTTTACACATCTGTTAGGAAAGTACGGAGTACAGTGTTCAAAAATGTGCTCTGCAAATCATGCTTTGTTTCCCGTGACACAAGGCACGTGGACTCTTATACGGTACGGTGACACGTCATCCTAGGTGGTGACATTCGAGCTCTCCATAGCAGACGCTTCTACCTTGTCACAGCGGTTCTAGGCTAAGGACTCACTTGGACGAGGAAATCTCCTGTATTCCATAAGAAACAAATCTCGAGCTTATCTTGATTGTTCAGTCTTCTCTTCTCTACTTATGCAACCACGCGGACATGGAGGATGTCGATCACTCTACAGGGATTCCCTACCAGTGGAGGAATCTGGGAGTATGCTGGCTGGTACCCTGACTATTGGGAATACGCTCAAATCATGAAGCCTGCCTTTTATGGAAACTTCCAAGACTGGATGGCTAGGACAGCGCCGCAGACATGGGACCTTGATGGGATCAATGCTGCGAGAAAGGTTTTGTTCTAAGGTCATGTTGCGTTATAATTCAACGAAATTGCAGCGAGATTGTTGTCAGTGAAATTAGTTGGCTTCTGCTTCTGCGCCCTGAGCCTGCGAAAACACAGTTTAATGTCTACGTGAATTGTGAATAAAACCAAAATTCAATGGGCGTTGGTTGGCTTTTCGCGCAAGAAAGCCCGTGAGCCTATACATAGGTCTGCACAGGGTCTTTATTATTCCAGATATAAATATCCCAGTGGATGAAAGAACACAGCAGGGATTGGAAGCTTATAGAGTGTGGGCTTTATCTCTAATTTGCTATCACACCTTATCTTTCGGTATGTCAAGAGCGTCGAAAGAAAGATGTTCGGAGCTCATCTTGTAACCTCCCCCAAATGCCAAGATGGATGTATGTACATCATTTAGCCTGCACGCTGTGATACCCTATTTTCTCTTTCTTTTCATACTCCAGCATACTTGGATCGAACCCGGACGTCGTCCCCACTATGAATCTGAGAATGTTCTTATTATCTCCGACCAGGGTCGTTTCTCGTCCCTTCTTAACTTCAGCAGAAGACCCTCCTCTTTCCTAGGCCGTAGCAGACCCTTCCCGGACTACTGTTGGGCTTCGCCGCGATCATACTGAGATTCCGAGGTTCGATGGAGCTTTGGCAAGCGACTGGTCGGCTGTACATCTTTACATGTTGTCGGTGTCATATATTTATAACGCCAGCTGGGGCTTCCTGCGGTGAGGTCTGAGAATAGCCTTCAGAGCATAGCGACTGACTAGGTGGCATCTCAGAAGGTGACGGTATAGTCGAACTGTGAGCAAGTAAGGCCAGTTCCCTCCCCACACAAATGCCGACGTCCTGAAGAAGGCTGGTGCGTACGAGGATTCTATTCCTCCCACCATTCCTATATTCCCGATAACGTCATGGCCGGTATTGGTGTTGGCAAGCTCAAATAAAAGACTTGGAGAGATTTATTGCCCGGAGACGTGTATTCGGGGCGGCAATTCGCTTCGATTTTCCCCTTCAGAGCTCTTAACCTTCAGTTTTTCTGTTCTCTTGTACAGTATCAGATTGGAGATTGTTGATAAGACCCACAAGAAAATGGAAGGCAGGGCGGCATTAGTCATCCGTTGGTGCCTGAGTCAATATCGGCCTCGGCCTCGGGGTCTGCTGACCAACATGACATCACGATTATCCCTTGCTAGGGTTGAATGTCTGAAGAGACCTACATTTTCCACCTCAGCTCTACCATGTAATGCTGCACGTACATAAGGACGACGGTGTTCCAAACTGTCAGGAACCAAATCATCACAGCGTCATTCAAACCCCTCGAAAGCCTTCCACAAAATGACCATCGCTCTGCTGATCATCGGCGCCACCGGCAAACAAGGTGGTGCCGTTGTTGACGCGCTAGTCGCCCAGGACGCAGATGTGGAGATCCTCGCCGTGACCCGGAATGCCCAATCCCCATCAGCCCAGAAACTGGCTCAGAAGTCGGACAAGGTTAAGCTGGTTCAGGGCGATCTCAACAATCCCGCGGGCATCTTTGAAAATGCCAAGAAAGCCTCATCCTTGCCTGTTTGGGGCGTATTCAGTCTTCAGGTGAGGAGATCTTTAGCTATGACTTCGCTTGTATACAAAATAGGTTAAACTGACGGAGGGTGGTCGAAATAAACAGAGCCCCTTTGCGAAAGGCGAGAGTCTCGAAAGCGAAGAACGCCAAGGCAAGGCCCTCATTGATGAGGCTACCAAACAGCGCGTGCAACACTTCGTCCAAACATCTGTGGACCGCGGTGGCGATGCATCGACCGACAACCCCACGAACGTGCCCCATTTCGTGACCAAGTACAATATCGAACAGTACCTATTCGAGAAAACCAAAGACGGGTCTATGGATTGGACCGTTTTGCGACCGGTGTTCTTTTTCGACAACCTTACACCAGACTTTATCGGCAAAGTTACCTTCACGGCCTGGGACGCATATATACAGGGAAAGCCGCTCCAGTGCATCGCGACTAGCGACATCGGCATAATTGCGGCCCAGGTCCTCTTGCAGCACGACCGATTCAAGAACCAGTGTCTCTCTCTGGCAGGCGACGAGCTTACCTTCGAGCAGATGGCAAAGAAATTTAAGACCCAAACGGGGCATAGTGTGCCCACTACGTTCCGCTTTGTGGCCTACTTTATCATGATGATGGCCAAGGATCTGAGGCTCATGTTCAAATGGTTCCACAATCAGGGCTATGGTGCTGATATCAAGCAGATCAAACAGATCCATCCGGGATTGAAGGATTTCGATACCTGGTTGAAGGACGAAAGCCAATTTCTCAAACATTGACGTGTGATACCTCTTTAGCTATGTATATTGTTTTTGGTCTAAATTATTTTAATGACTGTTACCTTGATGTAATGTATTTAACTGGGATTCTCGGAGGATTGGTTCAATCGGTCTGTCATACTAGGCGACAAAAGTGAAATTCACCATCAATTCCAACGTACGAAGAATTCAAGATACATGCTTCGATGCAAGGATGTAGACAGCATAATGCCCACTCACTCCCCTGCCAGTATCCCCGCTCTTTGCAGACGGAACGCTCCAGTTGCCTTCGAGTTCCGCTCACGCGTGTTCCTCTCATATAGCCGGCAACGTCTTCGCTACCGCAGCCCTATGCATGTTTTGCCCAGCAATGCGACGCCAGCGCCTGAGCGGCCCCTCCGGATGTAACCCCCCACCCCAGAACCAGACAAATAGTACTAAATTGCGGGGATCAGAGTTGCTACTGTCGCTGGAGTATTGTCGCTAAGCCAGGGTATTCCCCGCATACTGCAATGGTTGACTAACAGGATTAGTCGATCGTTGGAGTGGAGTAAACACTCTTGGATATGATGACCTCTTGCACAAGAAGAATAATTTCGAATACATGTACAGAAGACTGTACGATGAATTATATTCTTAGCTGTCGTAGTATTGGTACCTATTCAACTATATGTACATATCGCCATCGCCTCCACTTGAGACGCGATTTTCATCAAACATTGTGTACTTATTCTCCACCCCCATGCTTCATTATTGCCTTTCCAGGACTCTAAAGCTTATCAACCCGACCCAGCAGCCACTGCAAATGGCGATACGTCACCCGCGGCTGATACTGCGGCTGCATGTGTCCGGACTGGTAAGTCTCGGCCCACATAAGCCCACGCTCATAATGCTGCACACCCATAACGCCCTGGCTCTGCAGCATGGCTTGACCATTCTCCTCGAACACCCCACCCCACGTGAGATCGGGCAGATCGATGGTGATGGGCGTGGCCGGCGCAGACTGGAACCCGAGCTGCCCATTCCAGGTCATATTCTGGATGGCCAGCAGCGTCCCGTTCGTGAGGATGATCATATCGTAGTCACCGTTGCTAACCAGAACGCGGTTCGTGCTCTCGATAACCTGCGGCAGGACGTGCTCGATCGGGTTCGCGGATAAGTCCCCTTCCTGCTCGGGGCCGGCGTCGCCGCCGACGTAGACGTTCTCGCTGGAACAGCCCGACCAGGTGACGTTCAGCGGCGCGTGCATGGCTCGCTTAACGTCCGCGCGGTCGAAGTACACAGTCGCGCCTGCAGGCTGGTAGTTGAACGCCGTGGGCATGGCGAGAACGTCCCAGGCGAGCGGGCACATGAGGTTGATCTCGTAGATGTCGAAACAGGAGTTGGCGACCATGGCTTCGTTGCTGATCAGGTCGAAGACGTCGCAGGCGGCGTCGCTGGTGTAGTTGAAGGATTTCTGGGGTTGCACGCCGGCCGGGGGGAAGACGAGGTACTCGTCGAGGTACTCCTTGTAGCCGCAGGAGTCGTGGAGCTTCTCCAGTTCCGCCATGAAGCTGGTGTTGAAGTTGAAGAGGTTGGCATTTTGCTGGACGAAGGGCACGGCGGGCACTTCTTCCTGAATGTAGTCGTGTTGGCCAATACAGGGGTCGTATACCAGGGCGCCTATTTTAATGGTAAACGTAAATTCGATAGTGAGTTTCCAGCCACGCGAGATATTCACCTTTCACGTCATAGTGCTCCGTGTCATTCTTGTCCAGCATGGCGGCGGAGATGTACGGAACATAACGGCCAGCGTAGCTTTCACCAGTAACGTAGATCTTGAAGTTTTTGATGCCAAAGAGCTCCTGGAAATTCTTGAAGAATCTCACAAAGTCCTCGGCAGTTTCTTCCTGGGTTGTCGCATTGGGCTTGCCGATTGCGAATCCTGTACCGACGGGCTGTTCGACCCTGTCGCAAGACGTATTAGACGAATGTTACGACATACACAGCAAGTGCGAACATACCAGAGCACATTGGTCAGGTTAACCCACGAGTAGGGGTTCTCCACGGGCGCAAACGTGCCAGGCTGCCATGTGAAGCGGCCGTTTTCCTGGAAGAAGCCCTCTAGAGAGCTGCATCCTGGTCCTCCGTTGAGCCAGATTGTGATCTCGTCAACAGGATCGCCGATAGTAGGCTGGAAGACAAAGAAAAGAGCTCTTGACTTGTCGTTCTTGTCGATGGGGACTAATCCCGAGTACATCTCGCCCACATCGAAGGGAACATCTGGGAGGTGGTCGACCCGGTAGGCTATTTGGAACCAATCCTGTTAGTCAATTATATTACGAGATGGACATATTTAAACGTACACTTTGTTTTATTGGTTAGGAAGCGGAAATCGTCCAAGGGTGTCTTGAACGACGACTTCTGCTGCTCTGCAGCTCGCTTGGCCAGGTTCAAAGAGTCGCGGGCCTTTTGGCCGAACCGACCATGTTTGGCAGCAGATACATTATCCGTGACCAGGCCAGCGGCTAAGATAGCCGTTGACACGATGCTTTTGAACAACATTTTTATAAAGTGTTATTGGTGAGAGAACCCATTTTCTTTGGGGTGCGGCGGCCTTTATAAACATCAGACCGGGATGAGCGGCCTGCATGACGGTACAGCATGCTCAGGCACAGCTGCGAGAATCCCAGATTCGGAGACGTTACAACAGGTTGTGGGCCGCTCCATTGAATTATTGAATCAGAAAAGGAAAGGATGCGGAGTCAATTGGTCTCTTATCACAAATGACTCCAAGTGACGGAACAAAAGCCTCGGAGGATTGAGTAGGTGGCCAATAACAGAGCAAAGGCCGAGCGGGAATAAACAAGCCCTAAATTACGGGCCCCAGTCGAAAGCTTGAATGCGAGGCGACTGAATTTCCCCTCGACTTCCCGGAAGAGGCCGGATTAGCGGCCTCTCTAAACACGCCATGGATCCCTCTGCGGCGCTGTCCGACGGTGATACGCTATACTATATTGCTTTGCATATCTTTTGTGTCCTGCGGGGATACGATTGGACTTGTTTCAGATTAGCCCCGGCCCACCCTAATTGAAATGAAGGCAAAGATAGGGATTTTGAAACTACCAATCGACATGCGCAAAGGGTGATAAGCGTTAGTTAATTGAGTAGTAACGCAATCTTTCTTCGCTAGCTTTAATGTACATATGTGGTAATGACCTTTGACATCAAGGATTATAGCGTAATGTCATTGTCAGTGAGCGGGGATATATTGAGCTCAGGCATCGTGGATGCATATTCCACCCTAGTATTACCGAATCGGGTAGAGATTTACAAAACCCTCACGATCTCCGCCCAGCCAGTATCCGAGGGCCGACAGGATGATGCATAGGCACGAAGATCTGGTATTTCCAATCATTCGACCATGGAAGATATATACACAGAGAAAGCTCGCTCTGAACTACATCAAGAGACTGATTGCAGAGCTTCTCTTCGACTTTTTACCCTCATTGTCCAACCCCATCAATCGACGCACCGCCATCTGCGCCCCTCTAACACCATAATCCATAGAAACCACGACTTCGTCCGGTATATCCACAAATTGTCCAATAAGTGCCAGGTTCTCCATTCCTTCAGGTATCACTTGTGGACGATCGCCATCTGCCCGCGGTAGCAAGGTCGCCGTCATCCGCGGGACGACAGACGGGATGGTGATCGAGTTTTTAATATCCCGTCGACTGGAAATTGCAAATGCTGGAGTATTTCTGTCATAATCTCCTCGCCAGAACAGGCCAGCATCGACTTCTTAACATAGTTACCCTCTGCCTCGGGGCAAAGCGCATAGCCCCAAAGGACTTGCACATCGCCTGGCTGATCGGGAAATAGTGGCTGTTGTGGGATATTCAGGCTGATGATCCAGCTACTGTCTTTCAGTGTTACGAACGCCGCTGTGCCAGGCTGGTTGTCTGTCAATTTGCAGAATCGGTTGAAGAATTCGGGATCCTTGAGCGTGACGGTAAACGATTCCAAGCGGGACTCTGGCATGCGCGTGCAGAAATTATAGGCGTTTCCGAATTTGGGGTTCTTCGTCGATAGTTCCAGCCATAGGAGCCAGTTCTCATCAAGATCCTTATCGATCTCCATAAGCTCTAATGAGGGTGGTTCGGTGTTGCTACCGACCGTTGTCCCAGACATGACGGAGCCAACGGAAACAATGACAATGTCGTTTTGTCCCAGTACAATCTTGTGCTCGCGCTCGCCGTCTCTTTGCGCGCAAATGGCTGAGACGCGGTTCTCGTTTTTCGTGTCAAGAATGATATCGGACACGGTAGTATTGAACTGAAAGTCTACACCTTGTGATGTTAGGAAATGGGCGATGGGCGCCACAATAGTTTCATGGCGATTATAGCGACCACAGTCTAGAACGCGCGGGGAGTTTAGATCGTGAATATCGTGCATGAACCTCGCGATATATCGGCGTAATTCGGTAGCGCTGTGCCACGGCTGGAAGCCGAACCTGGTAAACGATTAGTCTTCGAATCCCTCACGTTGCTGACTGCGACTTCTTACGTTGTGGCCAGCATCAGCCAGTAATTACTCTTGAAGAAGCTCCCGCTAAAGTGATCCTTGATCCGTGTTCTCGCTAGAGCCTTTTCATTTTTCGAGGCCATCACAAAAAGCTCTATGCGGTCCCGGAGCCCCAAGTTGATTTTGCGAGGATCAATACGGCCCAGGCCATGCGACCTCCGAGTGAGGAGGCGTGTGTGGGAGGTCCCATTTAGAGCGTGGCTCCCGTACTCTACGATATCGTCCAGAGCCGTCTTGCCTTTGCGCGTTCTAGACGGAACCACCGAGAGCAATTCTTCCATGGCCGAGCCGTTGAAGGAGGGCATCCCTCCTGCCCGATAGTTGTACCCATTCACTGGGTCCCCTTCGCTAATCGTACCTCCCCCCGCCACAGCGAGCTTCTCCAGGATATGGATCTTTTCCGGGGGCACATTGGCTTCCTGGATTAAATGCACGGCCGCTGTGAGGGAGGCAATGCCGCTGCCAAGGATCCAGACGTCAAGCTTGTCGGGCAGGCGATACCCCCGTCCAGCGCTTTGCCTTAGTGAAGATCTTGAAGATTTGCGACTAGGCATGACGACGATGATCAGAGGGACAGGGCAGAAGGGACGGCGTCTGGTCTGGCTTAGAAAGAGATTTGAAATAGTCAATCAAGTTGTAGCCTTTCTTGACTTTATTGAAGGGGTTCTAGGCGCACGGTGGCAATGAGATTTCTCTGATGTCAGAGCGGTATTTTTTGTTTGATCGATCAAGCTTCTAGCAAACGTCCGAACCGTGGGATGGGCAGATCAGGGTCTGGAATGCTGGGGTGATTCGCTGGATGTCAGAGTCTGGATCGCGCCCGTTATGACGCCACGACCGCCATCTTTCTGATTCTGCACGCGGAGTTTTTCTAACCTCGGGGAATTTAGTGCCAGGAACGATTTGATAAAAAAAATAATAAGTTCTCATTCTATACTACTAGTAGTGGCAGTTCATTCCTAAACGGGTAAAGACACCGAGGGACTCGCAGTAGTCTATGGACCACTTAATCCACAAATGGCCTTGCTTTCCTGGATTTCACCAATTGAGCATAATACTCTTGGACTGTTTTGCGCCCTTTCCCCTCGAAATATTTAGGCCCCAGTTCGGTTGTGTCAAATCCCTTGGGATAGTACTTTTCTCCCTCATCTCCAGGCAGTGGTAGGCCCAACAACCGCATAAACCACGCAGACAGACCCCAGCGATTCGATAGGGTAGGCTTAACATAGTACGGTGCTCCACTCCAGGTACTCACGTAGTGGCGACCGTGCTCATTGGAGCCCTCGGAAAACACATCCAGTCGGAGGAACCTCGGCCGTGGTAGCGACAGATATCGAAGGTAGAACCGGCGAATGGCTACCAGAGAGAAGAAGATGGCATAGTATAGGCGAGCAGGGGCGTCATACCTAACTCGTTAGCATCTCGCTACCAAAGCCACAGGGGTGCGAGACTCACATCATTGCCACCCGTAGTCTTTCATCCATCATACATGATGCAAAGTTAACGCCAACACCCTTCAACCCAGCCGGCAATGCATAGACCAGGACATCCATGGTCTTATCCGCGACGGCCTTGTTTTCCGGGCTAGGCTTCATGTATTGCTCCTCGTATCGATGACTCCATTCGGTCATCTCGTCAAGAAAATGTAGTCCATCCCGGAATCCCATCTTCGCGGATGGCAACTCTGTGAAGTCGATCTCAAGTGCATCTCCTAGATTTTTCCAATACGTGCCGATAGCACATCGCTCGAGGTCGCTCATGGAGCGCCATTCGAACATCTCCACGAAGCGGATTGGCTCAGTCGCAAACAGACTCAGGGTGTATAGCATGTCCGAATTGAGAATGCTACCGCTGGTCCGATAGCCGGTGTGCAGGAACTTTGTTCGCGCGATCGCCGTAAGGGCACGGTCAGAGGTTGGCTCAAAGGACATGAACTGGCCGATGAGAGCACCGGTGTCGGCATAACGCTTGAATGAGGTGGCTGGGTCGGAAAATTGGGACGTCTTGAGTAACAGTTTGGAAATAGTGGGGATGCCATATGTCTGCTCAGACAGTCAGTGCGTATGTACCTTTGGATTGAACGGGTCCTATTTACTCGGAAGAGCGCAAACTGTAGAGCCTTCAGGGATATCGTGGGGAACTCGAGTTGGAGAACCTGTTTCTGAATGGCCCAGGCATCATGGTCGGTCATGTAGGCCATCCCTTGACGGGTCGAGTATTGCCGATACTGACGATGCAGTCTCCGTAGTCTCTGAAACCGTAAACAAGCCACCAGGACAAGATATGTGGCGACAAGGCCTGCCGTAGTGGCAATGCGTCGTCTAGGATTCGCCCATAGTATTTTCAACACTCTTCTAAATGGGACACGGTCGGATAGTGTAAGGATACGGGAGATAGCGTTCTCCATGGTGAATATCTTTCTGTTCAGACGGTATACTTTGACGGCAACTAAGACTCACGAGAGTGCCCGAGAAACTTCTCTTTATACTCCCCATCCGCACTTTCCATTTTGCAATTCCAATAAGACGAGCACATGAGCAATCCTCCGGATGCGAGTTACCCTCTGTCAGACCACGTCTTTGCGGTGAATGTACAGTGAGATGGTGTAGCAGTATCAATCATATGCAACGCATGCTAACTTGCGGCGGACCGAGGATGCGGGGTGCGGGGAGGTTTTGTCGATCAGCCGTGAAGGGCACGAACGATGGAGGCACCGATAGCTAAACGTTGCTTTTAACACCCGAATCTCCGTGGGAATCCGGCAACCGACAAATCAGCACGATGATATTTGTCGGATAGATGAAGCCGACATCATACGAGGAGTCGATCAGTGAGATCTGAGTCTTGAATTTGCCGTAGTCTGAAGGATCTACCGTTCAACTGCCGAGAGCCTATCGCATAGCATTGGGCCGATGCACATATCTCTGTCTTCTAACTGGTTCTAACCAGCACAATGAGAGTTTATGCTTCACGGTTTATGCCTGAAGTGCAGGTCCTGGTTACTAGAACCCTCGGCAATTAGAATAAAGGCATTAGAAATTAGCCTATTGGGCATGCTGCTGATATTCATGATAGATAGCACATGCCAGTACACAGCGTTGGCGACGTATCGAATACGACGGGATATCCTAGAATCGCAGTCCTTTCACCACCATGAAGTTGCTATCAGGCCTTAGTCAGAAGCCGAGTGTGTGTCTCAAACCGCTTGAGCATGAATTAGCCACCAATGTGAAACTTTCACCAGACGCCCAAGATTACACGTTTCCAGTGTGTGGATGTCTCCTCGTTGTAAGGGTCTTGGTAGCCTCTACGCATGTTGCAGAAACTTGAACAATCCATCAAATATCACCCAAGAGTGAGAAACGAGCAAGAAAGTCTGCCATACTGTAGATTTTCAATAACTTTAACAATACGGGATATACGTGCGCGAAGCCTTCAAGATCTCTCGAATGTCTCAGACTTAAGAGATCAATGTAAATAGAGGTTGATACAGAGCAATTTCAAAAACGCCAAGTCAAACCATGCTTCTCGCACTGGCATAATCATGACAGCTCCAGTTCTGTCTCGTCTTACACCGAACAGCAGACACTCTCCAACATACAGTCCTTTCCACCCTAAACCTCTCACATTTTCGATTCGTTGCGTCTTTATCCAACAAGCGGAGCTAGATTTCCTATCTAGACGAGTGTCTACGGATAGCTATTGTCCGAATCCCACCCAACACCACTAAAATCAACATTCGACATATCATCCATCATATCTTTCTCATCCGTACGAGTAGAGTGTACCCCTGAAGTCAAGGAAGTTCTCCCAGCCTGTGGCCAAAGCACTTCGCGATCATCAACATCCCGGATAATAGTCGTCTCGACTCTGATACAAGGTCCTTCTATATCTGCTCTGTGATTGCTTACCTCAATAGGTGCAGGAGGGTAGACCTGTGATCGCACCTCGGAGCCACCATCCTGGGAGAAGTTCGTGCAGTGCTTATGAAATGGCCAACGGTCCGTCTTCTGTGTACGCTCCGCTGTTATCCAGGGACTTTCTGTTTCGTGGTAGGCGCTCCTCCAGGTACAACGGTCAAACAAGGGGGGCATCGTCACAACTGAGGCACAGACAATGGCGAGATCAATTTCTAGGAGCGTCCAGATTCGTTCTTTTGTGCCGCTTTCTTCGGCAGGTTAGCAGAGATCAATATACGGTTGTATGTGGACATATTCACCAGTTAGGTTGGTTGCTGGGTAATACCTCAATGCGATCAGACGCATCAAGCTACAAATACAAACCCTGGTGGAGGTCAGTAAAGAGTAGTTCCAGCCTGTCGAAGTTATGTGTGAACTTACATTCCACCCATACAGAACAGGATGGTAAGCAGTACTTTCTTTCGTGGCGCTATTTCCAATCGCCATACTATAGCAAATGGGATTGCCAACAACACTATATCCTCGACGAATGACACGGATCCAAGGGCCATAAAAAGGGCCTTCTGTCCACTCACGCAATGGCCCTCAATTTCGTGATTCCAAAAATACTGCGGTGGCCAGCATTGAAAGGTATTTGCAACAAGAGCTGCCAATCCCCATGCGATGATAAAGACGGCGAGAAACAGTGTAAGAGGAAGTATTCTCTTGACAGATCCCAGCAATTTCCGAAGAAGAACAATAATGGACAGCTTAATGAAGACGTGGCAGGCTGGCCAGAATTCCTGGGCTATCCAGAACATCTACGAACAGTTAGTGCATGTGTCATCACAATGGCGAGCAACTCATACCATTATTACCCGACGGGCAGTCCTCCGCGGCAGAGTTGAAAGGTCTATTCCAACGCCTTCCAATGCAGCTAGCACAGTCAATAATGGAGTCATGAGCTATAAGAATGAATGCACATACCGACGATGGTTGTTATGGTAATGCCATAAGACAATACCAGTCCTAAGCCTAGGAACACGTCGCCAGCGTCCAGCTTCCCGATACCAAGGCAATGCCTATACAACCGAAGAAGGTAAAAGAGCGTAGCTACCACGGCCCCAACAATGGAGAGGGCGATGAGTAGCCGGCTCCAGTACTCTGGACTGGTCATTAGCTATCAGGTTGCTCAATTCATGTCCAGTCTGATGTTGCAGTAATAGATCTCGTGTTCGGTGGCCGAATTACCAGTTGCATTCACCGTGCACCTACATAGCTCAGTAAAGTCCACATTTTTGAGAGCTTTTACACGATGGAGTTGCCCGTAATAAGGGCTTCCGATCGTACCATCAGCGATCAGAAGTTAATTACTTTTCCTATCCTTCTAGAAGTCGTGATGTCACGCCTTTAAGGCCCTATTGTGGCGTCAACACCTATGGGACAAGCGCAAAGGTCGGAATAAAAGCATATTTAAAATGTCAGAGATTAACCAGTCTAGCGATTGGCCATCCGGAGATTTTGGAGAATGCTCCATGGAAGTGTGGCTGTTTACCAAGCTGTCTCATACCCGAACAGGGTATTGGAGATATCGGGGAGGTCAACATCCAGCGTTCTGCACCACCGTCCAACTAATATTTGACTTCCATGATTCATGCCTTCTCTGGTTACGGTGATGACATGTGAGTACGGGAGAAAAGTCCGCGGGTGAGATCTGCACTGGACCTACGGTTCCGGTACTATCAATTACCTTCCAGGCGTTCCATCGCCGTCTTGGCCGTACTCGCAACCTGTCCCACGTCACCTCCCTGATCGCTCATCTGACTCAGACGCTCCTTCCAGAACTTCCATCGTTCAGGGCACAGCTTAGCTGGTCCCTGGTACAATGATCCCCCAGCCATAATCCGCTCTTCCTTGTTCTCTGCAGCCATGGTTTGCTGTCGCAAAACAGGTCCACCATGGTTGAACCATTCCCTAGCGACGGCAATATCACATTCCACTTTCCTCCCCGACGATTCTTCCTCAAGCGCATCCCGGAGAGCCCACACAGCGAGATTGATCCATGGTGCGAGGCCGAGGCTCAGTAGACGTGCGACGAAAGAGTTAAGACTGATCCATTCTTTGATTTTCTCTTCGGCTTCGTTGCCGGTTGGAATGACTAAAATTCCATCAGCATACTTTTGTCTTTCTCCTATGATCCGTGAACACGTACGGTTCCAGGCTTCTCTCATTTCGGGCCCCAGAAGAGGTAGATCCGCCCAGAGTTTGGTATCATTCTATACTTTTTAGTTCAATCCAAAGCGCTCAAGATGAGGGATGACTCACGCCCCAAATTTGTATCGTTGTAGGTGGTATCTCAGTCAGCGCCTTCACTAGTTCCACTAACCGTTCCTGCGATGGACTATCACATGGGATTTGTTTTGCGACATTGATAACAATAGTCCAAAATTGCCAAAGCAGGTTCTCTAGGCCGTCCGCGTTAGAATCAGACAGAAGTGGAACTGCGAAACCATGGATACTCTGTGCAGCTGCGGGCGCTGTGATTGAGCTGGAAGGCTGTGCATATTCATTCAATATCGCAAAGAGTTGGTTCTCTCGCTCTGAAGGCGATTCAATCCTCGAAGACAAATTTAGAGAGGCCATTTTACGTAGAGTCAGTATTTTCGTGATTGCCAAAGAGGACACGAAGGCAGGAAGATATGATTTTATAATAGCAGCTTATCAGGCGGGGTTTATCGGCTGGTTGCGCGCATGAATCATAATGCGCCTTCTAGCCACGGGCTGATCTGATCTGCAACATTGAGAGGGTGTGATTGGGGCTGGTGGTTTTAGTGTCGGTTGCAAGACGCAGCATGCTTGGCAATATTTGGTTTATTGGTCTATCTTGCAAGAAGCTGCATATTAGTCGAAATTAACAACAGTACATGGTATCCAATAACAAATCAAGTCTTTCCATTCCTCCTGCACTTGTAGTTTCCGACGTCATATCAGATTTAGGCATGTAACCCTGCCAGGTTCAATGACATTTCCCACAGCTTCGTCTGTTTTGCCTCGTCATACACCCAGGGAGCATACCCCTTGCCAGTCCTTCCAGTACTTGGATCATATTTGTCTGCAATGTGACAATCCTCAAGATACTTCCCGCCTTTTCCTTCCAACTCCGGTGCCACCGCGGCCCAAACGGTGGTGGCAGCCCCGTGCTCCGAAGTTTTCCACAAACTAGACATCTCATCATCTTTCTCCCATGCGTCAGTCTGTTCCTTGGGAACGTGTTGCTGTAACCCAGATTTAATACCACCAGGGTGAAGACTAAAAGCATGGAGGCCCTGAGACCCATATCGTCTCTCGATTTCATTGGCCGTCCAGATGTTCGCCGTCTTGCTCTGACCATACGCTCTCCACGGCTCGTAGATTCCCTCCAGGTTAATGTTCTCGAAGGTAGGCTCTCCGTAGCGATGTGCCATGGACGAGACATTGACAACACGCGAGTTGAACTCCGGGGTTGAGGAAGCAAGCAGAGCATCTTTCAACAGGTAGAACAGCATGAAATGGCCTAAGTGGTTGGTACCGAATTGGGTTTCGAACCCATCTTGAGTCCTACCCTCCGGTGTCGCCATGACCCCTGCATTGTTGATCAGGATGTTCAATTGGGAGCTTTCAGACAGGAAGGCTTCCGCACAGGCGCGCACGCTGGTCAGCGAGTCGAGGTTCAAAGGTAGGAGGTGGATATTGGGTTGCTTGGTGAGGTCTCCCAACGCTTTCTCGGCCTTCTTCAAATCTCGCGCGGTGAGATAGAGCGTAGCCCCGGTGACGGACAGGGCACGCGCTGTGTCAATGCCGATGCCCGACGAGCAGCCAGTGATGAGGATGACTTTGTCCTGGAGTTTGCCTTCTAAACCATTGCTCTTGATGATCTCCAGTGCGGTGGGATGGCAGTTGGTGCCGTCTTTGGAGTTGTTAAGGGAGCTGTTGGTGGTTGACATCTTGAGGGATATAGTTGAAGTATAGGTTGTAGGGTAGGGTCAATTATATAAATATGTTGCGGTGATATGATATTCAATTTGAGGTTGCGCTCAACAGCTTTCGAATGCATGGATTTGTTGCGATTTTTATATGTCCAGCATCATGGCAAATTTTACACCTAACGCCGCAGAGCTCCATGGCGGAGTTAGATCGTCCCTAAAGCCGTTGAATAGCATCATCTTTAGGCTCCATACGGATGCGGATGGAAATGCGGGCGGACGAAATCTATGGATCGGCAGTTGGTTAGGACCATGAAATCCGACTAAGAGGTGGGCCATACCACGTGACATACGGCCAATAGAGTGTTGTTCAAGAGGCGTGCACGTGCTGCCTATTGGTCGATAATCATATGATATTCTCACCCACTTCGTATACTCTGTGCGGCCGCCCGCCCGCATTTAATTCCCGCGTCTCCCGGAAGTTCTACATTAACGTCCTCAACGTCATGGCGGATCCAGAAACACATACCTCGAGAGCTATTAACGCTTGTCTCACGTGCCGCAAACAGAAACGAAAGTGTACGAAAGAGAGGCCTAGATGTTTCGTTTGTCGGAAGACTGGGAAGGCCTGTGATTACACCCCTATTGGCAGACGTTCCGCGACAGCTACAGACACTATTGGAAGCCCAGATCCCGAAGAAACCGGTGAAAATGTCTCCTTAGCCAGCAGAAGTCCTCATCCGAGCGGATATGAGAAAAGTGCAATGGGTGCTGGTTCTTCGACTACGACCGGCCTCTTCACTCTGTTCCTCGACTCCGAGGTTTCTCCGGATCGAAGTTATCTGGAGTCTAACACACGCATCACCCTGCCGCCCGAATACCTCCCTTATCTCCGGAGTCCTGCACAAGTTCGACACGAAGTTGATGTCTACCTGAATAGTGTCCACACATTTTTCCCTATAGGTAAGATCATGGCCAAAGTGGGCTCGGGTGGTCTGTGTGATCGAGACTGAAGCTCGTTTCTGGACAGTTTCCAAGTTGCGGTTGTACCAGCAACTCTCGAATGCGGATCGCATCAATGAACCTGATTTTGGTCTCCTCTTGATAGCGATGCAATTGCATTCGCGACCGTGTAGTGAAGTTGAGTCTAGTGAGGCAGAACTTTACAGGTCTGCAAAGGCTTGCTACGTATATGTTGAGCGCAGCAATATCTTCTCCATCAAGGTGCTACAAGCACTACTTCTGATCGCACTATACGAGATATCGAACTCTATCTATCCGGCGGCATATCTAACAGTGGGACATTGTGCACGACTCGGACATGCTATGGGAGTTCACCAGCGCAGTGATGCGCCGCAGATGCTGAACCGAGTAGGTGAGTAATATCCACACACTTGTCAGGCCCTGGTGTGCTTAAGAACGCAGGTACGTGGGTGGAGCTTGAGGAAAGGCGTCGTACTTGGTGGGCCGTAATCATATTGGACAGGTAAACTCTATCGAAAACACTCCTACGCTTGTTGGTACACTATAGCCTGAACTGACTCATAAATTCAGATATGTTAATTTAGGCGGCAGGGACCGCCCGCTTGCATGTGAAGATGCACAGCCAGAGGATTTTCTTCCTGCAGATGACAAGTCCTGGGATCGTGGTGTATACATCAACCCTTGCCCTACGCGGGCTAAGCATGTTACTGAATAGCACTAGGAAATCACGGTAGTCGAACCCCTCGCAGTCCGCGCCAACACGACCATCCAAGCTTGTCCATTCACACGTACTTGTCAAGCAGCGCATATCCTCTCCCGCGTACTTGGCCACCTGAACGATCGCAACGCGGATGTCGATTTTCGATACGAAGAGGCGATGCAGCTGCATCGAACCGCCCAGGCGCTATCACATACACTTTCACAAGAACTGGAAGAATGGATCGAGAAAGTATACGACCCAACTGCACACCTTCCGCTGTTTTCTGCCATTGGTATCTGCTATAGTGCGTCACTTCTCCTGTATGACAGGTACTGTTGCAGCGGTATTACTGGGGTAGCTGGGAATCTAGAAGTACAACAGATGGCACTCTCCAGGATCAGTGAGGTATCTCGGGAGGTCTTTCACTTCGCAAAAAGCATTCGCTCGGCCATGGATCTTGGTGGGTCCCTCAGAATGAGTCCCCTGGTACTTGACTGTCTATATCAGGCTGCAGCCAATTTTATGTGGCAGAGTCGTGAGACTGGGAGTTCAGACCTCTTACATATGGCGAATGAGATCCAGAGTGTCCTCGAGCTTCTTGGGACGAGATGGACGGCTCCCCGTAAGATAGACCACCCAAATCCTTACCTACTGTCTTCTGCTAATCCACTGGCTCTAGGCGCATATCTGTCGATTCTTCGAAAGTCTGGCGGTCACTGCTAACTGCCACCGACAAGGACACCTATGCTACGATATAACCAACCCATTACATGCACAAGGCTACGCATATCATGAATGACTGCTATCTATTGGTTTCTATTTCCTAAGGATGTATAATTTAGCTTGGTACACGATATCGTGGAACCGGGGTAGATATTCGGGGACTTATGACGCGATGCTGAGGTTGGCCTAACGCTATCTTGGTTCGAACCGGTATTCAATATGCTGTTATAAATGACCGGAATTCGACCTGAAACGCAGATACGATCAAAAACCAGGTTCGGGTGCATAGTGAGCAAAGTACGATCGGGTTTGCAATTATAGAGGAACATCCTTAATCTCTGAGTAGACTCTAGGAAACGAGCATGCCACAGCGCGATAAGTCAGGATCACATGAAAACATGACACAGCTGATAGCCTGTCTCAGGTTATTCAAAACGTCCTATGGGCCGCTTCACCTTTCCATGTTTTTCGTCATATGACCAGGAAGCTCCAATCGTCGCTTGGGTAAGGTTCTAAGAAAGTTCATAAAGGATGTCTGTTCTGGTGGCCTCTGGGGTGTAGGCTATTGGTGGCTGGAAATCCCCTTTTATGACCCGTGGTTCTGTTCATTGGTTCCTATCAAAACATTAACTCCATGCCGATCAATGTCCGATGACGGCCGAAACGCATCGTGAATCATGGAGTAGCAATCTGGGCCCGGGAATGGCCCACAAACGCTGTTTAGTAGATGTAGTAGGACGGCCAATATAGTCCCCGTTGTCTGGCCAAAGAGAAATACCATCTATGGAGGACATCGATGCTACGAGCCAAACATGGTTGTCCGTATCCAATTGTTCTATATCATTGGGGCTAGAACCATCCAGCATCCTCGTTAGGCACTGGTGACACCTCCGAGTAAACTAAAAATGATAGTCTTGTGTTCTGTAGACCCTTGAGCTGTACGCACCGTCTTTTGCGGCAAACCTTGCCATATTGAGGTACACAAAGAAGAGAGTTGGCCGAATGCAAGATTCTGTTTCCAAATGCTTGGGCGTATCCCTCGAGCTCAAACACTGTCAATATTTCCTGGACTTATCATTACGTAAAGGAACCCCCCCCTTGGAGATCTGAATATACCCATTCAAGAAAAACAGGATAACAACACTATTCGGAACCTTCACCTTTACTTGGCTCATCCGTTCTTACCGCGCCATTCTCAATGTCTTACTCCTTCTGTCATGCGCTGCCTACTTCAGGTCTGCCCTAACTTCTGCTTCAACCAGGGCACCGTATAGAATATTAGTTGGATCCATGTGGGGCATCACTGTATCAGAACGTCTCGTGGTCATAGATGCAGTCGACCCGTGCTTTAGTCACGGGCTATGGGCACGGAGACTACTGAGACAGTACCATGCTAGTAGGTTAACATTGGAGGTGTGGGAAGAGCTTGATTAAACTTCACTTTTCAAGCCTCTCCTCCCAGGAATGACTTGTGAGTCAAGACCAATCAAAGAATGCGCGTTCATGACCTCTTTACTAGTAGAAGGTTGCTCGTAGAGTGCAAGACTATCCAATGCAGCAACAGACCATACCATCTGAGTCGCGATAGCCAAGAAATTGAACTATCTTGTGTAGCTCTGAATTGGAGAAACAGAGATGACCATATCACGCAGGTTTTGCAGCATCCTGCAGCTCCTCGGTACCACTTACCGATCGAATGCCGCCGAAACCTCTCGCATGAGGCTACCATTCTGCTCTATGCTACGCCTCCCGCGGTAGTCCTTTGGACCATTACAATTATTATCTACCATCCTTGTTGAGGCTTTCGCCTTGATTTTCCATCAATGCCCTTGATTGTCCCCAGTAATTGCCAGTAGAGGCATCTCTTATCTTATCTTGATCCGATCGGTTGATCGGACCGATGACGACATGGCATATCACTTCTCCGCACTCAGGCAGGGTCATTCGCGTCACATTTATTTCAACGCATATACCATTATTAAAGTTAGTGGACCAGAAAGACACGTACCAGAAAAATGGCCAGTGACACCGTCGTCTCACTGCTGTCCTCCCTAATGCAGACCAAGAGTACCAGTGAACACGAACAGGAACTCGCCCACTTCTTAGACGACCACCTCACCAACCTCGGCTACACCGTTGAACGCCTCCCGATCGCTGAAGGCTCAAACAGAGAAAATGTATATGCCTATCTAGGTGCCCAGCGAAAGACGCGAGTATGTCTCACGTCCCACATGGACACCGTCCCGCCCTATATCCCGCTACGGATTGAGGGGTCTACAATCTACGGGCGGGGCGCATGCGACGATAAAGGCCCCATGGCCGCGCAGATATGCGCTCTAGAAGAGCTGAGAGCAGAAGGAGCGGTCAAGGAAGGCGACGTGGGGTTATTATTTGTCGTCGGGGAAGAGAAAGGTGGACCCGGCATGTTAGCGGCGAACAACCAGAACCTCAGCTTCGAGAGCGTCATATTCGGGGAGCCGACCGAGGGGAAGTTGGTGGTTGGACACAAGGGGCACCTGGTGTTTGAATTGATTGGGGAGGGCAAGGCCTGGTATATTGCCTCCTTTCACGTCACGTATGCACTGGCTTGGGTTGCGCTTGAACTGACTGCGACAGTCACTCTGGATATCCTCAGCACGGGGTGAATGCTAATATAGCACTTATCGAAACGCTGAATGACTTGGTGAGAACGGAATTTCCGGGTTCATCGCTGCTTGGGCCTTCGACTTTTAATATTGGGAAGATTGAAGGGGGCGTGAGCTATAATATCGTGCCGGAGACCAGTAAAGCGCTTTGTGCTGTTCGCGTGGCGACCGATATGGCTAGGATAAAACAGATCGTCTCGGATACTGTTGTCCGACATGCAAATGTGCGACTCGAGTTCAAGTTTGAGTATCCTGACACCTTGCTGGATCATGGTGTTGAAGGTACGTTTGACGTTGGGCGTGGTTACTTGTATAAGCAACACGCTGACAGCTGTACTTAGGATTTGAGACTGCCCCTGTTTCGTATGGGACTGATGTTCCACGATTCAAGGGCAATCATAAGAAGTACTTATATGGGCCAGGATCTATCCTGGTGGCGCACGGAGACAATGAACAGATCGAGATTGATGAGCTTGTGGAGGGGGTTCGAGCGTATAAAAAGCTGACGATGCACGCGCTCGAGTCTGCTCGGTAGATCGTATGCAAACATCAGGGCCAGTTCAACCTGTCCTATCTCACCCTATTCAACGCTAGTACCATTGCTGATATGCCTGGTATATGACGTTTTAAGATGACCTTTGTATGAGGCGACCACACCACAGCTATGTTCACTGCCAATTGTCTATCCCGGCATATGATTGAGGAACAATAATACTCAACTGAAAATATAAATCATACTTTTCACTCATCCACGATGACTTCTCATTGGGAATGACAGCTCTTCAAAGTTGCATGTCTTTCTGAACACTGGCGGGCTATCGGTAAGATATTTAATTGTATCACCTGTATTAAGCGTAGAGTGCAAAAGGCACTTCTAGAGCATTATCGTTAAAACTATAATCTGCTGATACGAAGAGTCGCTTAACAATCAACATAGAAACCGTTGAAATCCCTCATTCTTAACCGCTTATTCAGCGGGTGTCGGCCATAGCGAGAGGCCGCCGTGCCACGTGCCACAGGGGGACCCTAAGGAGATTCTTCTTCCACAGGAACAAACTCTGCCAGGTGCAACTAAGAATAGGACTGCCGGCCTCGAAGCCCGATAAGATCCAGGGGCAATTATTCAGCGTTACGGGATCAGTTAAGCTCAACAGGGGTAGCCTTGTGTATTCAATCTTTGTCAGACTGAGTGTGCGGTAATCCGTAATTCCGCACTTTCTGCCACGGTAGTCGCCCTGGAATTCCGCACGGCCAATAAGAAGGCGCCAGAGAGGCTCTCATCGCTTATAAATTTCTCCAGCGATCTGACAAAGCCACAATTGCCGTTGAAAATGGATCTGCAGCCGCAATGTGATTGGTGACTGATGGGACCATTTGAGAGAAATAATTATGAATTTTTATGGAAATGGACCTAAATCGCGGGGTGCCAAATGTTTCGCAATGGCGAGATTGTGCATATAAGATCCCAGTTTTCTCTTCAATAGACCCTTGCATCTCATCAGCTTCCTATCGAACACTCCTCCAACAGTTCCCACCTCTTCAATATCCATCAACACCGTCACAATGGGCTCCGCTCAGGTCGAATTCAAGAACACCTCCACCAACACTCTCCTCGAGTTGGTTAAGGCCCGCCGTACCTACTACGGTCTCAAGGCCGAGAGCCCCATCTCCGACGATGCCATCCAGTCCATCGTCGAGACCTCCGTCCTCCACGTCCCTAGCTCTTTCAACACCCAGACCTCCCGTGTTGTTCTCCTGCTGAAGGAGGAGCACCAGAAGGTCTGGGACATCGCCATCAAGGCCATGGAGGGTCTCGTTGCCGCCGGTGCCGTCCCCAAGGAGATGTTCGAGAACCACACCAAGCCTAAGCTCGAGTCTTTCCGCGCTGCCTACGGAACTGTACGTCGAATTCCAATCCCTGCCATCTTCAGCCCCAAAAAACCAGTACTAATAAAAAATATGAATAGGTCCTCTTCTTCGTCGACTACGAGTCTCTCGCCCCCATCAAGGAGAAGTTCGCCATCTACGCCGACAAGTTCGACCCCTTCGCCCTCGAGTCCAACGCCATGTCCCAGTACCTTGGTATGTTCCCATCCCTGATAAAATATCCAACCCCACATGTGATTTAAGCCCAGACTAACAATTTTCAGTCTGGACCGCCCTCGAGTCCGAAGGCCTCGGCGCCAACCTCCAGCACTACAGCCCCCTCATCGACGCCGACATCCAGAAGAACTGGAACCTGCCCGCCTCCTGGAAGCTGGATGCCCAGCTCGTCTTCGGTGCCCCTACCGGCGAGGCTGGCCCCAAGGAATTCGCTCCTCTTGAGGACCGCTTCAAGGTCTTCGGCAAGTCTGCATGAATTTCACGATAGACTACTTTTTATGGTGTAATGTGAGCGTTGTAGCTTAGATTTCAATGGCATATTTTCATAGACTTCGATGGTTCTGCTGTTTGTGTAGTATTGTATGTAGGGGATCAAGCTTGATCTGGCGCTAATATTGGCGCAAGCAGCCTCGGGGGTTGCTCCACCACTCTCGATATCTGTCGTGGACGCCGGTCGATTCATGATGGACTTCACCGTAATAAACGCCTGTGATCTACGGTATGACTTCATGTTTCAGCATGCAGTTTGCCAGATGTGGGTCTTATCATCCAGCTCATAGACTCGGAACATCTGCCAATGACCCAAAGGCAATCAAAATCTTCATGCATTGACAAAGCACATACAGAGTAACCAGGCAACAACAATTTGATCCAAAGACCAAGTACAGATAGACCCAGAGTAGTCCAGCAGCCAAGTATCAGCCGTTTCAAGTCCACAGCCTAGAATGCAGCGATCGGCAGAGAAATCCTTGCACCACAGCCAGAGGTACATTAAAACAGCAAACACAATTCGTCAAAACTCACACGACCCACAGATTCACATTGAAAAACAGCGCCAGGAACCAAACCCAAGCATAGCTAAAATTAGGGGTCTCCACCAGCAAGCGTATTCAATGTATTGATCCTTTGCATTTAAGCTTTTCCGGGAGCTCCACTCGTATTCGTGAGCAGAATTCCCTAATCCGGTAATATCGTCGTTTTCTGATGACTATGGCCACATCAGATATAAATCAGGGACGGGGGTTCTGATTCTGATGGAACGAACATATTCTTTCTTGAAAGGACTCTGATTACACCCCAGCATATTCGCAGATTGACCAAAACTCGAAGAAAATGGACTTCACTTTCCACGAAGGCGTCAACGGCTCTTCACCCTGGGTCGAGTTCTACCCCTACAACCCATCCCAAACAGCTGGTTACGCCTTCATGGCCATATTCGGTCTAACGACCGTTGTCCACATCATCCTGATGTTTCCCTACAAGGCAGCGTACTTCATACCCCTAATCCTCGGCGGAATATGTACGTCCATCGCCTACAACCTTCTCCTCACAAACCATGCACCATGAACCCAACTAACACATATCCCAGGCGAGACATTCGGCTACTACGGCCGCGCCTGGTCCCACAACAACAGAACCCTGATAAGTTCCTGGGCCCTCCAGCAAATGCTCATTCTCTGCGCACCACCTTTCGTCGCAGCAACGATCTACATGGTCCTCAGTCGAATCATCCGCGCCTTCGACGCAGAGCATCTCTCCCCCATGCGCACAAAACGCATAACCGTTCTATTTGTCCTAAACGACATCATCTGCTTCCTCACCCAGCTCGGCGGCGCCGGCGTCCAGATCACAGGCGATGCGCAGGTCATGGATATCGGACGCAAGGTCGTCCTCGTCGGACTCGTGTTTGCACTTGTGGTATTCCTGGTATTTGTCTGGATCGCGTGGGTGTTTCATCGCAGGCTCGCTGCTGAGCCGACGACGGTGGCGGCCGCAACCCGGACTTGAATTGGAGGAGGTACATGTGGGCTATCTATGCCAGTTGCTTGTTCCTGATGGTAAGGAATTTGGTCAGGCTGGTGGAGTTCGGGGCCGTCAAGTCGGCTTTAAATCAGCAGGAGGCGTATATTTATGTCTTTGATGCGGCGATGATGTTTCTTTCGATGGCGGTTTTGGTCTTCTGGCATCCTGGGTTGTTGATTAAGAAGGCGAGACGTGCTGGGGAGGCGGGGAGGTTGTGTGCTGGTATGGAGGAGAGTGCGGAAGGGGTGCCTTTGGCTGGGTATAAGGGGTATCAGAGGTGTTGAGTGTGAGGATGCTTGTGGGGCTTGGGCGTTGGTGGTGTTTCATTTGTTTGGGCTTTGTTGATGGAGGTCTTTATTTTGGGTTGAGTTGTGATTCTGTTGGCTATACTGTGGCTTTTGTTTGCAATGGAGAGATGGTTCCTCAATGCTTTTGTCGACTTCTATACACAGTATTCTCAATAGGGCTCAAGAAGGGGGTATGCAATGTACATCTATGGTGGCACCTGGCTAGGAAATGTTGCACCCTCCACCTTCTCCACTATCCTTCAGCATAAGTCCTGCACCCACTTGGGTGTACACCACTTTCTCAATCCTCCCTTCACACATCCAAATGACGGTGTCGACGCCATCCCGGAAATACTTAACCATCCCACTTACTCTATGAGCGACAATAATCACCGTATACCCTTGCTGCGTGAATTCCTCCTCTATAACATCCTGCATTACCGCTTCGGTATCTGGGTCCAGGGCGGACGTAGCTTCATCCAGGAGAAGAATAGGTCTGCGTTCCGCTACAGAAAGCCGGGTCTGGAGATCACAGTACTCAGGATCCACGGAAGCCCTTTTATGAGCAAGTGTCCGTGATAACGAAAGGAGTTGCTGCTGTCCTGCAGAAAGAGGTGGGAGTGAGGACATTGGAAGGTCTAGTAGAGCTTCGCTTTCAAGGGAACTCTGGTCACTAAACTTGGAGAATTGGCCGAAATGCTCCAGAAGTCTTGTCTTTTCTAGGGCTTCAATCAGTATACTATCTGCAAGAGATTCGTCGGGGTCAAGGTTGAAACGCAGAGTAGCTGCCGCGAGGATGAACGGGTCTTGTGGTACTGTGATGAAGCAGTGGCGGCGGAGATATGTCTTGGATATAGCGGCAATATCGATATTATCGATTACTATCGAGCCATGCTGGGGGTCTAGTAGACGAAGGAAGGAAAGTAGTAATGTGCTCTTTCCGCTGCAGTGGAGGGATGAACTGGTTAGCTTTGCTTCATAAAAAGGGAATACGAGGTTATACCTTCCAGTCCTACCGCATATGAAAACCTTCTGTCCGGCATTGACCTCCAGGTGAATGTTCTCGAGAGCAAGTTTTGGTGGACTGGAATCTCGTTAGCACACAAAGCAACAATACCAAGGTTGATTGAAACGTACCTATACGCAGCCTCCAGGCCACGAGCAACAATGCTCCCAGAAACGGGCCAATTAAGGGGTAGAGACAACTTGTGGTCACTGGCATTTTCTTCCTCAGGGGTTTCTGTCACAACAGAGCGCAACCGCGCAATTGCTCCTAGGGAGACCTCTAGCGAGGTCCATGACTCGACAAGCCGAAGCAGGGTTGTGTTAGCAAGAATGATCATATTCAGCGACAGACCAACGGCTGTTGCTCTCTCTGTTCCCCGGGATGTCACCGCTAGCGCTACGAGACCCACCGCAACTACGGCAATTAAGAGGTCAAGAACGAGGTTCAACCATCTTTGAAGACAGAAGAGTAGGTATGCTGGCTTTTGTGAGGCATCGATAGTTCCCACTATGTCGCGAGCATACCTCCACTGCCATTGAAGTGCACGTATCGTGTCAAGGCCATTGACCTGTTTCTCCTAATTAGTGCAATGCTAGGCCTTGCTAATCGAAAGAAAGGACCATACCATTTCTACAAATTTTGAATAGAGAGCTGACTTTGACTCAATCTCGAGAAACCGTAGCTGCCTCGAAGTCCGCAAGTAAACTCTCTGCACGAAGTATACAATGATGATACAAAAGGGCAGAGTGACGGCCATCAATGGGTTAACGATAAAGAGTATTGTCGCCTGCACCAACAGCTTAAATACCTCTATACTTCCATTAGAGCCCACTTAAACCTTAGGACAGGCTACTTACGAGTTCCCAACACCTGGAAGGCATTTGGAAGTTGACGGTCTACAAATTGAATGTCCTCTCCAAAGCTGTAATGTGTCAGTACCTGCGTACGGATGAGATGATTTACTCTCACCGATTCAAGATAACGCCGATATTATTGTCAGAAAAGTATGATAATGGAGCCCTGCGTGTATCTCATGTCAGGATACGACCAGGATCGATAGGTGTCTTGAAACAAACCCGACTATTGAGTTTAGCAGTCGGCTATGCAAAACGACGCCTGATTTCGGGGAGATCTTCATGCACGTGGACCTTGTATTATCAGCAAGTGTGTAAGAGAAGGCTAAGTGATTTGCTGATTGCCTTTGCGATAACCTACCACAAAGTACCGTTGGTGGAAATCCAGGCCACCAGAGCCAACACCATATAGCCCCCCATGTAGAAGAGACTTTTCTCTTCTCCAGCTTCGGCCCACCACTTTAGCCAGTACTGAGAAAATGTTATAAAGAAAGAATATGATGCAGTGCACGCTAGCATGAAAAAGCCATTCCAAACACCCATCGCACTGAGGTAGTACCCTGGAGTATAGTTAGCCAGCGCTAATGCAGCTATGCCTTAACCTTACCGTAAAGCCTTAAGTCTCCACTCTGTCGTGTTAGGTCTTGAGCTGCATCAGCCCTAGAGTCTTTCTGCATGTTAGCACCACCTTGGCCGTCGGCTACCTGTGAAATATCTCGGCAGTCAGGTTCATCCAGCATGAATTTGTCTATTTGTTTGGCATCGAGTTGTAGCTCATCCCAGGAGCCCTGTAATTGGATTTTAGAATCCGATAGTATTAAAATGTGATCTGCCAGGGGGAGATATTGGGCTTCACCAGGGTTAGTTCCAAGGCAACGATAATATAGAGAAATTGCTCGCCTACCCGAGTTAGTTATCACTACGGCTGTTGTGCCCTGTCTTCGAAAAATACCCTCTGGACCCAATAGGTTATCGATGATAACCTTCTCTGTTGCGCCGTCAAGCGCACGGAAGGTGTCGTCAAGAATGACGATCTCACACCTAGCGTACAAAACACGGGCGAGCGCCTTACAAATATTAGTATGAGGCCGAAGCCGGATGGGATTACGATCAAGCAACAACGTACCACGCGTTGTCTCTGGCCGCCGGACAGATTGAGACCAGGAAACTTAATCTCGGTTCCATCTCCATCGGGGAGAGCACCTAGGTCCTTGACAAGGTCAGAAGCAACTAAAACCTGCTTGTACCATGTTTCATCGGTCTGGAGACCACCACAAATAACCTCCTTGATACTCCCATTTGGTAGCCATGGCTCCTGGGCACATATCCCTATGCGCTTGGAGGACGTGTAAATCGCACCACTAGAGAGTGGTATTTCTCCGAGTAGCGCCCGAGCCAAAGTTGTTTTCCCTGATCCAACGGGACCGGCGCACATTACAATTGATCCCCTGTTGATTTTGAAATTAAGATGATCCAGGGTTGGCTTAGAGGTATGCGGATACTGGATGGTCACATCGGCTAGAAGAAGAGCTGCCCGCTCATGAGTTTCTGTATCGTCCCAGTCAACCTGAGCCTTTTGTATATCCATTCGACTGTCTTCGTTTGTACCCTGTGTCAAGTAATTCATAATTCTTTCGGAGTTCGCCAGCGATGCAATTGCGCGAGGTACGATGGTCATAACCATGTTTGCAGGATGAGTAACCATAGCGAGCAGAGCTATAGATGTGAAAGCCGTTTCTGCAGGGAGGGCTCCATCGGTCTTGCGTCTTGCAAAAACCACATATAATACCAGTGTTATCACGGGTGCGAACATTCCCAGAGCGTTAGCTGTCAGCGTCAGGTCAATAGTTAGCACTGATACCAACCAGACCCGTAGTTATTCTCTTCACGACTTACCACTGGCATTATATGCAAGCATCACCCACCGTAATCGTATCGACGCTTGTATTTCCTCGCTTCGAAGACCAGACAGAAATGTCTTCACCGGGGAAGAGATACCAAGCATCTTCATACTTTTAATGGATTGAAGCATTGCCGTTGTGACTGCCATCCGTTTCTGTGTGGCGGCGTTCCAGTTGCGCTGCCGCCTCTGTAAGTGACGCGCTACGTAGGCGCTCATCACGGACGAGCCTTTTCAGTGTGAGCGCCCGGAGCAAAAGAAGGAAAGACAATGGAATAATATGTAAGTACTTACAGCCAACACCGGCAAGTGGAACCAAGCACAACCAGCCGATCTGGCCTGCCAACAGAGTTGTTCCGAGGGCCACTTCTAAAATGTAAGCCCATGTTTCATGGAACATTTCCCCAGTGGTGCTTAGAGTCTCTGAGTCCACACTCATAAGGGTTATCGGTCCTCCATTGTCACAGCGTCCGCTTTCAACGTTAAGAGCCCTATGGTGAAGAAGTGCGATGAGAGCGCTGCGAATCATAATCTGTAGCCGGTTGAGCTGATGGTGGTACACAGCGGTACTGATCTACTATACAATTAGCCCCGAGGAATAGGGACTTGGGATGTCAATACTTGCGGCCAGTCCGAAATAGATAATACTGGCCATAACAATGAGCCAGTAACTATAATTAGCATCGTCTTGGCTTTCACTCTTACTGCTAACAAACCGAACGGCAGCATTGATTAAAACAGGCTGACAATATCGGAAGAGAATCAAGAATATCCGGGCAAGAATCGGTGATATGAACGCCCCTCTCACAGATAGGAACAATGTTGCGGGTAATGTGAGTGTGGTTTCAGGCTTTGCTAGGTAGAGATCAGCATTCGAGACTACCATGTTCGATCTCACGGACTCACCCCTTTGATCCCAGGCTCGAAGAATATCCTTCCGTAGGTGTTTCGAGCTCAATTTTCTGCCAAGCTCAGGAATATCGTGCGGCGTGAGAATACTCGTATAGCCCTTCCCGAGGATAGGGTAGATCCATGTAAAGAGTGTCTTTCCAAAGGCTCCCGCTAGTTGCTCTGGAGGTAACTCCCTGAAATGGGGCATTAATACTTGCTCCTTGTTGCACGATTCAAGAACAATAAGGACAGCCTTTATTAGAGCTTGGCAGGAAACTGGTAACTTTGGGTGTTGATTTTGGAAACTCGCTTTAGGCACGGTCGAGAACAGAATATCACCAAGCAGGCTACCTACAAGGTAGAGTAAAGTGACCGACGAAGTACGAATTCTGCGACGATACTCAATGAATGACACCATACTTAACAACAGCAAGGAAGCGGACGAAATAGCAGCTGATAGAAATTCGATCTGCGATATTCCAACAAACTCAGTCGGAAGCGGAAAGAGGAAAAACACTTGGGATCCAAATGTCGCCAGGTATAGGAACTAGAGTACCAGTCAATCTAGTGGTCAAGTAATGCTGCATTGAATCTGAAAAGGGTATCACTATTTACCATCTGTATATACATTCGACAGCTCGGAAACACACGAACTTTCTTGTGTCGTAGTATCCATAATTGGGTCGTAGCACTGATGATGAACAGTATCGATACTGATATTTCGTAAGAATAGAGAAATTGAGACATCCAGGGTAATCTATGCAGCGAGAAGTAGCCCTTCTCTAGGGTTGTTTCCAGGAGCGTGTTCCGCCGAGAATCCCCCCGTAGGCTCCCCCAAGGACGAGGGGCGCCCAATTGGCCGTCGGACAATAGCTTGAGGTCCATATAAACTATGTCGTGGCTAACATCTACTCTGATATGAAGAGGGAGGGTCGACAATGATAACGTCGCGTGTACTGCCTGCAGCAGTCTAGAAAACATGATCACCAATTTTCTAAGGAAATATAAGTCACATGTTGAGCCATACCATTCAGAGCCTAGCCCCTACTATAGTAGTATCTATTATTTCTCGCCTCATACCTGCACGTATGACGCAGTCAGGGTTCAAAGGTGGTGGATACTCTCTAGTTTGCTGCTAAAAATAGACTCATTCGGAGATATGCCGTGGAAGTATTCCTTGCGACCGTTTGAGCTTTTGAGACTGGGGTCCTCCAATTGACCATGTGTGTGTCAACGTTTGCTCCTTAAGCACAGAGAATATACACATGTTAGATACTAGCCTCGCATGCTGATGACAGTCTCAGGCCAGCTGATCCAATCATGGAACTCTTCCTTCAGAGAATCCCGAATACCTTCGATAACATGTTGATCCCAACCAACAAAGAGCCAGGACGAGGTCATATAGGTTAGTAGAATACTCCAATAAGCCAGAATAACGAGCGCGAATGGATCTTTTTTTTCCAGAAGCACGATAAATGCTTCTGGGCGTCGATATATCCAGCCTATGACCATAGGTAATAAAGATACCCCGTCTTTTCCCGCACTTCGCATCATATAAGCTTCCTCGAAACTGTCTGGTAGGCAGCCCAAAGCGCTAATATACAAGTCCCTTTCGGTGCCAGCCGTCTGCATCTCGATCAAAGTCATTATCTCCTTGATGCGATCGCAATGTTGATGCAATTCTCTCTCCAAGTCGGGAGTGACGCTTTGGACGCTATCATCCGTCTGAGGTGTTAAGATACCGGAGAAGATCTCAGCGCGATTTGATGCCAGAATCGAACGAACTCCCCTCATGAGAACTAGCCACTCAGCCTGCCCTTGGCGACTGAATACGAGATATTCTCCTGGTCGGGGGCCGTGTCCGAAGTAAACGAGACAGATCATGACTGCTGACATATAAATCATTTGACAATTCTCGGAGTCCAATTGTGAGAGGACGGTAGTGACAGATCGGATACCAAAAGTAAAATGATCATTTGCCTGCATCACATATTGGTGCCGAAGATCTGGATTCTGATGACCAAGATGGAGAGCTGACAAAGCCAGCATTAGATGGAGGATCGAGGGAAACGAGATTCCCCACTGTGGGATGTGAATCGACCAAACACCATGTCGGTCCAAAGCCTCGTCTGTAAGTGTGCGATATGTGGATATAAGATAGTGATGAAAGAGTTGAAGATCCGCAAACGAGATTCCGCCCGCAGCACTGTTGTTGGCGGAAAGATCGCATTGGACGGCAACAGAGCTGTCTCCAGGGCGCTGATTTCTTTCATTAGGCGCTGAAGAAGATAAAGTCTGATACTTGGATTGTTTGAAACGGTACCGCTGACGAGCCGATGATGCTGCAGGTGGTGATGGTGATGGCGATGTTGGAGTAGATACGGAGAAGTCGCATTCAATAGAATGGTTTACGCAATTCGTACACGATGGCCTCTTCTCATCACACTGTCGCATGTCAGCCGCATTCTGGGGCAGACTTGGATACAACAAGTCATATCCTCTTGGACGGAAGCATATAAGAGAACGTAGATTACTCCACATGTTGAAGTGCATTTTGATGTCTCTCGCGATCAGGAACGACGGTATTAAGAATCATTCCAGGTTCCCACGACACAATAACACAGTAAATAGTAGAGGTACTCACCTTCACCCGCCGCCGTTTGCAATTTTTACAGCCTAGTCGAGACTTCTGATGTGATCTCCGCGAGCGAACCTTGTGCAGCGCGGCGCTGTCCATGGCGGTCGTATTCGTGTTTGTTTTATCCGTGTTGGGGTTGTGATCAAGCGGAAGAACGAAAACGCTGAATGCGCAGAGAGAAGAAACACCTTCCAATCACGTGGACGGGCCACCCATGGATCATCTCCGTTTACAAACCAGTCACAAATCAGGTAACCCTAACAAGAACATTGCCGGATGCTTCATCCTGAGACTGATAAGGGCGGAAGAGTAGGAGGGGGACGGGGGAGCGCTGGACCCTTGAAACTACTAGAATATATATTCGTAGCCTATGGGTAATGGTATCCGCATTATCATCATCCTGCTACTAAGCCCTGACCACTGGACGAGGATTTTCGACAGGGAGATTTTTCGGTAATTTAAATAATAGAAATTAGGCTACTACATTTGGGATAACCGGAACGAATCCTGCAGTCATTTACTATCCACCATTTGAAACCTGACGGATTGTAAATAATTCTCTGTGTCAGTTGGCGACAACCTGATATCGATTACTGCAATGCTCGCTATGGGGAGGCCTTTGATGATAACGGTTGAGATATCCCATTAGGAGGCATTTCTATACCCCCTATTAAGGGAGGACCCAGATAATAACTGCCTATTTGATCGGCCTCGCGATACTGTTCCCGAAGTGTCGGTTTAATAACGCTCATTCAACGATAGTGGTATTTGTACTCTTAATAGCCGACGATAGCATATCTCGTAGACTAGACTTTTCTCGAAAAGAGCTTTATCACAACCATTACTAGTGTTCAAGGTATTACTATGGTATGATATTGGCTACGATATGAGGATAGACGGGATAGAAGGTATGTTCTAATTCTCTTTGTTCTTCCTCGCGACACAGTTCTGGCTGACAAGTTTCCATACTCAACAAGAGGGCCACCTCTGCCTTTTTTGTGCCACACCACCAAGCTAACAAAGGAAGTTTCCACCTGTCAGACTTTAAATGACTCAATTGGGGCCTCCAAGTTCTGGCTCTGTGCTGAGAAATGTTGCACACACCCTTCGCTGAAGTCTGTTAACGCACAAAGAAAATATTGACCTGCGGTCAACATGCTCATCTATGATTTAGCATTGTCCCTGAAAACGACCGACTGTTCACAAATAGTGATGAGATCCGTTGTTCATCCTCAGTTGAACGAGTCGTTAGTATGTTGTCGCATTTCACGTACATATTTTGGGGCGTACCATCAATATGGCTTACCTACCACTTATTGCGGAGGTACTTGGCGTTTCAGGTAAGCAGTTCATTTGACAACATCTCTTGTTTTTTAATGCTTTCCAACGACTAGTCCGATCGGAAATTCGGTATCTTGCATGGTTGTGCGAATCCCCCCAGACTACGAAACTGGTGGCCGTGGGGCATTGATCGCTTGATCCAAATATGGACTGCCGACTCAGAACAGCGTCTGCTGGATCTATTTACCTTCCATTTTAATGACTGCGGCAATACATTGGAGCAGAAGTTCCTTGGAACAATAGCATTTGGCACGACAGATCCCGAGAATGTAGAAGCAGTTCTGACAAACCCCAAGGGTCTTTACAACGCCTCGCCAATAAGACTAAAGAGTCACAAGCTTACAATATCGAGCAGATTTTGGCTTCGGGCTGCGGCGAAAGATCTTGCTTCCCTTCTTAGGAGATGGTATCTTTACGCAAGATGGGGATGCATGGAAGCACTCCAGAGAGCTACTCCGCCCACAACTGTCGCGACAGAAGTACCGAACCCTCAACGTATTCAGATCTCATGTCGACAGTCTTCTCCGCCAAATACCTGGCGATGGAGGAGAGGTGGATCTCCAACCCTTGTTCTTTCGCCTAACCTTGGAAACGACCACCGAATTCCTGTTTGGGAAATCGATCGCTAGCATGAGGTCTGCGGAGTTCAAGGGCCAGAAGTTTGCGAAGGCCTTTGATAATGCTCAGAGATATGTTATGAAGCGCTTCAGGCTTCTAGACCTATATTGGTTAATCGATGGTCCTAGCTTTTGGCGTTCATGTACCTCTGTCCATCAGTTCATTGAGGGGATGATCGAAGCACGAGTGAGAGATAATCTAGACAGTGGCGAAAAGGATGGGCAATGTGTCTTTGATTCTATGGCAGAAGGGCTGAGCACCAGAGAAAGCCTTAGGGGCCAGTTGCTCAATGTTCTCTTGGCTGGTCGAGATACGACAGCATGCCTGTTAAGTTGGACATTGTGAGTAAAGACCAACCGGTAGCCGGCCAAGCTAGGGGCCTGTATACATCGGCTCCTCTCTTACGTTGACACTGTAGCTTCTGCTTAGCACAACACCCCAATGTCCTGAGTCGTCTGAACGGTGAGATAGCTACGATTGTGGGCAACGAGGACGACATGACACGCGATACCTTGAAGAAGATGACGTATCTAGATAAGGTTCTGCGAGAAGGTGAGTAGATGTCAACACCATATAGAACGTGCTTATTGTTTCCCCATGCTAGTACTTCGGCTCTATCCGTCCGTCCCCGTAAACGCTAGGACCGCCCGTAAGACGACTATACTTCCAACTGGTGGCGGGAAAAACCGAGACAAACCGGTTGTGGTTCGCAAGGGTCAAAATGTCGCCTTCTGTGTCTACACAATGCATCGGCGTGAGGATCTGTATGGACAAGACGCTCATGTCTTTCGTCCTGAGAGGTGGGATGAGGATGTACCCTTGTATCGAGACGAGAAGACAGCGATGTGGGGCTACTTGCCCTTCAACGGTGGCCCTCGTGTTTGTTTAGGCCGTAAGAGACCTCTTTTCGTATGGTTGCTGCTTTAAACAAAGCCATTTCGGCTAACGTGGACGACACTTAGAGGACTTCGGGCTCGTTGAAGTCGCCTACACAGTCGTACGGATTCTTCAGAGGTTTCCGCGCGTGAGATTAGGAGAATACACGCGTCCTCAAAAGCGACCGTGGATAGCATGGTCTTCTCATCACAAATCAGGGGTTGAAATGGTTGCCGAAGAGAGGCAGAAGGTGACTCTAGTCCTGTCGTTGGGTGAAGGCTGCAGAGTGATACTTGGTCGGTAGTTCATAACTATAGTATGCTTCCAGTTGGTTGTTACTCTTACTTCATGTGTTTCAATATACTTGTCCAAACCGTTAGTATATTCTAGGAGATGGGCACAACCTTTTGGCCATCGACTCTAGTAGCATTCACATCTGACAAGAATAGCTCTTGTTGCCCACATCAGTTAGTAATTGTCTATCCCTTATTCCCTTGACCCCTTTGGTACTATCTCCCCTTGTTATGTATGTACAAACTGTCCAACAAGCTTTCACGATCTCGGGACAAGTGGGCACGGCGCGAAGACCGATCTCCACCGGATCACCAGGATTTCCTATTTTAGGGCTCTCCGGAGTCATGCCTGAACTCCGGGCGTAAGCAACAACAATATCCCTGAATCCTATCCAGGAGTGCCAATCAGAGACTTTGTAAATAAAACGAGGATTGGTTAAGGCTTTATCACCGCAGCATTAATTCAGTTAGATCGCTGTTCGGACTTCGGGGCGATATCTAACGATGACAAAACCATGCCAAAGGGGTGGAGCGAGGTGCGATTGAGTCAATTGTGACTATGTACTCGGTATATTCGCGTATTGTCAACATATATAAGGTGTTTGGAATCCTGGAAAAACAGTTGTCGATCGCAGCTTAGTTGGACAGCAGACACATATCTAACATGAGCATGCGTGTTCTTCGAACCAAGCTCTCAGCCGTCACGGCAAGGGTGTCATTCAATAACCAAGCCAAGTTGAGAGTTTTAAGTCGTCGTTCAGGTCCAAAAGATACTATAAAGCTGACCATTCTCCCACTTAGCAGTCGTCTCTTCTCCTCTTGCACTCGCCGTTATGCCGATGACAAACTTAACAAAGTTTCTTCTCACATCACGCAACCCAAATCACAAGGCGCGTCCCAGGCAATGCTATACGCGACCGGTCTGAGCGAGCACGATATGTCCAAAGCGCAGGTCGGAATCTCATCGGTATGGTTCGAAGGCAACCCGTGCAACAAACACCTACTGGACTTGTCATCCTTAGTGCGCGACTCGGTCGCAAAGGCCGGTCTCGTACCAATGCGCTTCAACTCCATCGGAGTATCAGATGGAATCAGCATGGGTACAACCGGTATGCGGTACAGTTTGCAAAGCCGGGAGATCATCGCAGACGGTATCGAGACGGTGATGAACGGACAATGGTACGATGCTAATATCTCATTACCCGGTTGTGACAAGAACATGCCCGGTGTCCTGATGGCCATGGGTCGTGTCAATCGTCCGAGTATCATGATGTATGGTGGAAGTATCAAGCCCGGGTGTTCTGCAAGTGGCCAGCCCCTTGACCTGGTTAGCGCTTTCCAGTCATATGGTCAGTACATTACCGGCCAGATCGACGAGAAGCAACGATTTGATATCATCCGCAATGCTTGTCCTGGTAGTGGTGCCTGTGGTGGTATGTATACTGCGAACACGATGGCCATTGCTATTGAAACCTTGGGAATGACCATGACGGGGAGTAGTAGCACTCCCGCTGAGGATCCAGCTAAGAGGGCTGAATGCGAGGCAATGGGTGAGACGGTCAAGAACCTGCTCAAAGAAGATATCCGCCCAAAGGATATACTCACGCGTCAAGCGTTTGAGAATGCCATGATAGTTGTCAACATCCTCGGCGGAAGTACGAATGCTGTTCTCCATCTGATTGCCGTCGCCGACTCGGTCGGTATCAAGTTAAGAATTGACGACTTCCAAGCCGTGTCAGACAAGACGCCATTTCTCGCTGATCTCAAGCCCTCGGGCAAGTATGTTATGCACGATTTGTATAAGATCGGCGGCACCCCGGCACTTCTGAAGTTGCTCCTTAAGGAGGGTCTGATCGATGGCTCGGGAATTACAGTCACAGGCAAAACGATGAAAGAGAATGTAGCCTCATGGCCGGACTTTCCTGCCGATCAGCCCATCATCCGTCCGCTAAACAACCCTATCAAGCCTACGGGCCATCTTCAGATCTTACGCGGGTCCTTGGCCCCAGGAGGCTCGGTCGGCAAGATCACTGGGAAGGAAGGCCTACGATTTGAGGGTACAGCCAGATGCTACGACTACGAGGATGCTTTCGTCGAGGCTCTAGAAAGAGGCGAAATCAAACAAGGAGAGAAAACAGTTGTGATCATCCGTTACGAGGGCCCGAAGGGTGGACCAGGTATGCCGGAGATGCTCAAACCCAGCTCCGCTATCATGGGCGCCGGGCTTGGCAAGGATGTTGCGCTGCTCACTGATGGTCGATTTTCGGGTGGAAGCCATGGCTTCTTGATTGGACATATCGTGCCAGAGGCTATGGAGGGTGGTCCAATTGCGTTGGTCAGGGATGGAGATAGGGTTGTTATCGATGCGGAAAAGAGGATGGTTGACCTGGAGGTACCCGAGGAAGAGATGGAAAGAAGGCGAGGTGAGTGGAAGGCGCCTAAGCCAAGGGCTATCAAGGGAACGCTACGGAAGTATGCCACTCTAGTAAGCGACGCCAGCCATGGGTGCGTCACTGATGGGCCGATATGATAACATGGAACTACTACATCCAAAGAGGCGTCTGCGACTAATTAAATCGCCGGAGATCTCCATTCCTGGGATAAAGGGCACATCTACCCAATACCATATCGCTCCTTCGATTTTGCTATCTTGCAAATTGGGGATTCTGCGAAGGCACACTCGCGCCACTCGGTGCAGTTGATATAGACAATTTGCATAATATCTAGGGGCTACAACGCGGCGGAGCAATTTTGATAATATTCTAGAAGGATATCAGAAGATCTATTGAATAGCCCAAAGATAGGAAATTTACTAATCTATTGATTGACCTTTCCTCATGCTCCTTGGGCTTCCCACACTACTATATATAGCACCGTTGCCAACACAATCAGTACTTTCGTCCTACTTAAAACATCCCACAACAGCTGTATTATTTTACTTCCTCCATGTTCTCCGTTTTACCTGCCAACCTTAGGATTTACCCCGGAATCTTCCAAAAATAACAATTAATTCCAACTAACCCCTGATTGACGCTGCCAATAACACTCCAAGACCGCCAAAATAAAATTAGTATCAGCCACACCGACAGTAAGCCTGTATAGCACCATGGGCTTTTCAGGCTTCCACCTTTAAATGGATGAATGTCGAGGTTTGAAGAGTAGTTGATTTGTCAAGTATGCTGCAATCGACTAGCAACTACTAGAGACACCGAACTCCGCGGGCATTAATGGCCGAACCCAAATGGGGAAATAAGGACAAAGCCGACTATCGAATTTATGCAGGAAGGCTCCGGCGATCACTATCCTGCATAGGGGAAAGATCCGGCGGATAGATTCGTGTCCCCTCCGATATGTAAGGGAGAAAATGACACCGTTTCCTCCGAACAAGGCCGGGAGTTAGGAAAAGCCTAAAGGCATGATTGACACGGGCTTTACATGATTAGAATGAGAATTCACGTACTTGTCATAAATCAATAGTACATAGTAAATACATGTAGTAGAATGGTAAAAAGAGTAAGAATGCCCCAAAATAATGACATGGATAATTAAAGTAGATATTTTCGTAAGGAACCACAAGCCGCACGACGCATGTTCGATCGCTCACTATTTCACTTCAAGCGAGATGACTATGGTCCCTATTGTAAGATACGGAATATTCTGTACTGGTCATGATTCCATGGGGTTCATTGTGTCCATCGGGCTTAACCAACTCTTGGACACTTTCCGAATTCTTGCGATTCTCCGGATCTGGGGTCGCCAGTTGGGTGCCTTGAAGAGTTGTAAGATGGTCCCAGTTGCGGATCTTCCTGTGTGGCTTCAACGAATAGCTGCCACCTGAGCCTTTGTAATTCTTGTTATTGCTCCGGTCAATGCTGGTGAAAATCCGTGGGAAGCATCGGGCTAAGAGCGGTCGCATGGTTGGTAGGCAGGCACATATTATGCCGACGTTAATTTCGATCATGCTATATTTGCCTGGTTAGTATATTCCTTCTGAGTTGTGGGCAGTGAGAATATCATGGACCTATGAACATACCACCAATTTGCGAGGGTGACCTTGAAATGTGTAAAGTCATTGCTGTGAATATAGGGCATCATGGTCACGATTCGTAGGATAGCGACCACACAGCAACTAGATACGCACGATTAGCAGTCTGACCACGTCCGCACATCATTTATGGTGCTTACAATGAACCTGTCCCAAAAACAATCATAAGAAGCAACCTTTGCCTCAGCGACGTCTGCAGTGACCAGCAAAGCTTGATGGGGAGGATCAGGGTCACGAGGTCAGAAAACACGTTGAACGCTGCGTTGGCGTAGACAAAGGCGAACTGGTCGACACATTTGGCATCCTTAATGGTGACATCCCACATTGCCTGAACCGGGTTACACCCGAGTGTGAAGATAAGAATGCTCAGTAGACTGTAGAAAGCGACGAAGGCCATGATTGCGAAAGTCATTTGGCGGAAACGCTTTTCGGGATTGAGTCGTAGGTAGAAGAGTAGGATAGCCGTTTTGACGAACCAGACACCGAGGGCGTAGACGTCCTCTTCGGCAAGATCATACTGCTATTGTTTAGTATGTGGGAGGTATTCAAGGGCTAAGCGACAGACAAACCTTCTTGAATGGCGTCAGCTTGTCGAGATGCAAGTCCCATACGTGTACGCCGTATCCGTTTTTAATGTCTGCGCCCGTTAGTAGATTGCCCTGTGAGATAATGGCCTAGTCAGGTATACTTACTGATTAAGCTCAGGATGGCGAAAATCCACGCACAGATCTGCCCCATCACGCAGCACACTAGGTAATGTTTAGCATTGACGAAAGCTCATGCAAGAATGTGAGTAAGACATGAATGGGATGGTACATACGGTCATCTAGCCCATATGTTCTTAAAATGTACAAGCGCGTATACAATCGAAGAAGTAAGACAAGGGTCGCGGATGAGCACATTGCAATGCTGACGGAGTAGATGTTGAACTTTGAGCCCTCTGGGTTATCGAAGTTGGGAGTAACCCCTGGTGGTGGAGGCGCTACCGGGATTTTGCTCAAGTCCATAGCGAATGTCTGGGGTTATCGTGGCCAAAGTGTAGTAGGCGTCTGAGCCTCAGTCCTCCGTTTAGTTTGCGCCCTTAACAGACGAAAAAGCTCCACCATTGCAGACCTGGATGCTTGTTTTAAGTCGACCCCAATCCAGGAATTGGGGTAATTGTACTTATATGTCGGTACATTATGCAATGATAGTCTCAATGGCTCTATTTTTGACATGTCGCCTGCTTTCATGATCACCGATTGGGTTCGGCCTTCAGCCAGTCGGTATGGTCATAGCACAAGCACGGACGATGATCTTCGCGACACCAGCTTCCCCGATAGAAAATTTAAAAGTGTTCCGATAACTTTCGTTAAACGGCGATCCTATGAGTATGGGCCCTATTCATTGCACTCCCTCCTCCAAAGTGAACCATACATGCAGATTGTCAATGGTACTAGTCATGCACCATCCACTGCCACTCCTGAATTCTTGGAATGCAACCGACCAGAATGTAACCTTACCATTAACCGGATAAATCCTGCGATATTAGAAGAGCCAATAGCTATACAGCCCTAGGCCAGCATGATCTTCACTAGGTACTTGACACCTCTATTAGTCTCCTAGACTATTACCCCAAAGGGAATGCAACAAAGAGAAGGAGGCTCGGCATTGTATAGTGTAGGGTGTAAGCCTGCACTATGTGTCATAGACCTGCGACTGGCTAAATTCAATGTCACTGGTCATAATTTGAACAATGAATCCCTTGCGTTTGCTCTGAATGAGTCGCTGGTGGCTATGGGGCTCTAGCTCTCCAACATTTCTTTATTGCAATCTGATTTTAGCTTCCACCAGCTAATGCAAAACCATTGACATTTGGGCATATCCGAGTTTGGACATGATAAATCAAGATCATATAACACTAGACGCCGTCTAGCGTGGGGAAACCTCACCGAGACTCTGGAAAGGTGAGACTAGTACCACGGCTGACGGCTGCTATAATTCAGGGTTGCGGGAGACGTTTGGAGGGACAATGCTTACATCAAGGGAAGTCTATGACTAACCTTGACGTGTAGCAGCTAAGACAACCTTTCTGGTGCTATGCAAGCATTCAGGGGGTTATACATACATTATGCAAACCCAAGAGCCAGGTGGTAGGGTAAACCGGTTCTCTGTCAGACGGGAGTGATTGCAGATGGTGCGATTCGTAATCCATGGATAATGACTTAATTGGTGGATGTTGCTCGCGGAAGACGTGTTAGTATGATCACCTATGCCCTATTGGGCGATGATAATCATGAAGTGGGGGCAAATATGACATGTCAGATACACAGTGGCTTCAGCTGAGAATACGGGATCCGTAGCTCTAATGTCTCAGCATTCGTGTTGTGTTGGCGACGTATTGATTGTGTGAGAGGAATGGGGCCAACCGACTTCATGACAGGTGGTCTGAGCTACATTCGCCTCAGGATCAGGTCGTCATGTACGAAGTTGATGTATATAAACCCATCAACCTTGCCAATCAGAGTGATGTAGATCGTCGCGTTGTTCCGACGGTGCAGATCGTAACTGGAGATTTGACTTTCTGTCCGCCCCTGAACCTTTGCGTATACTGTCCAGTGGATATGAATGTGATATCTCAATCGTGCCAGCCCTAAACACACACCACAGGGAGACCGTTCGGTGGGTTCCGCAATATAGAAGGCCCCATATCACACTACTAGTGTGCTCCAACAATAATGATTGGTGTTTCCGTAGAAGCCACCCCCTCGCACTCCACATCTCGGACTTCGTCCAGAACTATCTATAAGTTGATTGCGAGGTCCCTGCAGGGATCGTGTTGACAAGGGTATGCTATTTTCAGCTTCATTGTTGTCTGACTTCGAAGCTCGTCTGGCTCAAAATGGGTAGCATCGATCCAAATTTTGATCCCATTCAAGATGATCTGGACCAGGTCATCGCGGCTGCTACTCGGTACAAGGAGCGTTTATCCGAGACAGACAGCTACAATGCCAGATACGATCTCATGGAAAAGGCTGCTCGCCTCTATCAAACCATTCGCGGACCTGCAGATATGGTTTTCTCCAAGTTCGAAGATGTAAGACAAGCATACAAAATACAATTACTCCTGATCAAAATGTAGCATCGGGTAAATAATTGACGATATACAGGCAGCGAATATGGGAGCCATCAGAGCCCTGCTTGAGGCGGGAATCTTTCACGCCATCCCTACCGGAGGGAAGAGCATCTCAGCCAAGGAACTTTCTGCAAAGACCGGCGTGGATAAGAGGTAATCGGTAGGTATCATGGTCCAGCATCCGGTGTTGATGAGTCTAACTACCTAGACAGTACGACTTATGCGCGCAGTTACCCCAATGGGACCATTCCGAGAGACCGGGGAGGAGGAATACGCCCACACGTCATTTTCAGAGATCTACATGGCACCTCAAATGATGGGGGTCTACAAGCTAATGTAAGAAATGTCTACGGCGAAATCTCACGATCGACTACCTAACGATGGAACTCCAGGGCGGATGAATATTTCACACCCATGCTGAGGAACCATGAATTTCTGCGCTGCCAGAACTGGCAAAATAACTTTCGTCTGCGGAACAACCCTTATACGTTTGTACACAACTGCGAAGGGGAGACAATGTTTGAGCACATATCGAAGTTCCCCGACCGATTTACCACGTTCAATGAAGCCATGGTAGCCCAAGACTCGGGACTCATCGCGATTGGCCTCTACCCCTTTGTAGAGGAATTGGCTAGCTTAGCCAGTGAGGACACAGCCACCATTGTTGATGTAGGAGGCGGCCGGGGCCACATCTTGCGTCAAATCAAGGAAAGCGCCCCTCAGCTGCAAGGGAGATTTATACTCCAGGACCAGGCTAGCGTTATTGCAGATAATGGAATGGAAACACAGCCGCTTGGAATTGAGACCATGGCCCATGATTTCTTCCAGCCACAGCCAATCAAAGGTAGGTACTATTTCGCTCTATTGGCCATTACTTGTTAACTGATCATTTTACAGGGGCCTTGGTCTACTATATTCGCCGCTGTCTACACGACTGGCCCGATGAGCCAGAGTCAAGACAGATTCTGGAGAACTTGGCCGCAGCAATGGATCCCGAGAGGTCTCGGGTCTTGATCACGGAATATATCCTGCCAGAAGTTGGCTCCAACATGTTCCATGCTTGGATGGACCACACTATGATGACGTTTGCTGGACGTGAACGCACAGAGAAGGACTGGGAACGTCTACTTGATATATCCGGGCTAAGGTTGGTTAGAGTGTGGAGAGCCCCAGGAATACCGGTTGGTGTCGTTGAAGCTCGCTTGAAGTAAAGCTCGGATGACATGGTAAATGATTTGGTACGATTAAATGATAAAAAAACAATGAACACCCTTCAATGCTATACATATTGTTTGAACTTGCGTCGTAGCCACTGAAATCCGTGAGTGCAGCATTGAAACATCTCGATGCATACACTATGTATCTTGTACCATGTCACACTACCACCCGGGATCCTGTAGCGACTACATCGCAAACGATAGACGAAAGCTTTCCTACGGCCCTTTAATACTAACCACGCTCTAAAAGTACAGCCACCACGCTCAGTATTGGCGATTTATCATAGGAACATGTTGTAGAGCAATCCAAGACAACTGAGGAAGATCAATCTGTTTTATTGATAACTACATACAGGAGCAAGTAGCAGTTTTCATACTGTGGTTTAATGAAAGCTTCCGGGTACACCTTTCCGTGGTGCAGTATCCTTTGTGATAAAAGGTCTAACCGCATAGACCTCAGAACTCTTCTAATTTCCGATGCATGCTGAACAGCGTCCAATAACAATCGCTGAGCTTGGTATCACTATGCCAATCGGCATGCATTTTTATAGTGTCCATTTCAGCTTGAAGGTCACGTTTCTCCTTCTGCCGTGCTTCCTCCGCTGCTGAGTCGATCTCATACATCCACCATCCTGTTACCGGTTGAATAGTATTCAAAGATCCAGCTTCCTTGTTCGGGCTCTCAGCACTTGGTCCTGTTGAGGCTTGGATTCCGACCAGACCGGCGACCATCACGGTGTGATATTCATGGCCGTTGTCGTTAACTTTCACGGGAACAGTGTTGAAACCCGAAGGAATCGAATCTGTGTCCACACGGTGATACCCGACACCATCGATATTACAGCCATGACCTTGGCCCACCGAGTCCTTATGATAGAGGGGCTCGCCACTAGCATTCCAAAAGCAAAATGCTGTGATCCAGCCGGACAAATAGGTAGGGCCACTACCGCCGCCTTGGTGATGGACAGACCTTCCCCAGAAGTCGAGCACACTGAGAGAAGACGGGCTATCAAACGATGCGATGAAGTGCTCCAGAACCGGCCGGAGAAGGGTTGCAAATTGTGTCGGTTCCTCCCCCAACTCATGAATCTTGCTAAGTTTTGATAGTAATATGGCCCAGTCCTCTCGCTCGCCGAGCAACGTCACGGTGGGGATACCGCACAAGAGCATCATGGTATAGGAGAAGTATTTCTGCATGGCGCCCATCATCAGAATGGCAGACACTATTGTGTCAGATGGGGTAGTTGTGCTGAATGCAGGCATGATCCATTCCCGCAGCTCAGGGTCCTTGACGTTTGCCTGGATCTGCTCTGTCATCGCGACTGCCAGACGCCCAAAGTCTGCTACCGCACTCTTGACTATCAGCTCTTTCTGTCCCTCATGTGAAACAAAGTACGATCTTAGTTCTTCCGCGTGTGCGTTGACGTAGAAGCCGAGTTGGGATAGGATGGCGAACCAGACATCTTCGGGACGGATAATAAGATGATGATGATTGCTGTAGGCCGCCCAGACTGCCCGGACCAGGCCATTTTCTGATGGTGAAATATGGCTTTCCTGTAGGATGTGCGTCCCGTCGACCTGGTTCTCATCGAAAGAACTCTGGACCAGTCTCTTGGAGCGTCTGTAATCTCTCGCAGATGTTCCTTTGAGCAATTCCTCCGCGGTGGTGGCCTTTTCCGCCCTCCAATGCTCTGCCCCGTGCTTTGCAACTGTAAGTGTGACAGGCATATTTGTCTTTGATTTTCTTTTGTTGTGAGCGAAACGAGATGTTCTTTTGGGACTAGACTGTGCCTCAAACGCAGAAGGTTACACAGCTGGTAAGGGAAGGGGAATAGGAAAAGGTGAAGGAGGGAAGGTGAGGGGCATCGAAGTATTTATATTGTCCGACGATCTCGATTGAATCACGTTGCCTACATGTCGATCCTTGAACCTTGCATGTATGTATCGCAGAATTCCCCATGTCTTGCGGCAGTTCCTGGTACGAGATAATGGATTGAAGATAGTTCACTTGGTATTCTCCCAGCGTCACTATTTCTAACCGTCTTCTGTTTCTTCTCTGTATACGCACTGTGGTTTTCTCCCTTGGTTTCTTTTTCTTTTCTCTCTCCTTTCCCTTCTTTTTGTGTATTATCCAGGAGGTGAAGTTAGAATACCTAAGAAGGTGTATTGTCATTACAGGACATAAACCAGGTGGGGGGTAATTACCGTCTAGTATTCGCCACTATGACTACGAGTGCGGCTGAGGGACCCATGAGGCTGTGCCGATCTTGATACCCACTATCAAGCAAATATTCAGGGAAAGCCAGCTACACGCGGTCTCCTTCAGTGGGGTATGCTTTTAATCCGATAACACAGCAGCTGAAGACATACCATAATGTAGGAGTATGTATGATGTAGGACATGGTGAATATTCCCAAGAGCTATCCTCCTGGTGGTATGATATATCACTCAATGACCCGCTGTGAAGAAAAGGCGACATCACCTCAGACCTGATGAGAGATAGACGATTCTTGAAGAAGTAAGATATCTACATCCAGAGTCCAGAGCTGTACCGGCACTATGACTTGCAGCACAGGGCAAGACGGTCACAAGCCTATTGTCAATCGTCACGCTTCCACGGAATACCCCGCAGGTTATCAGACCTACCGCTGCAAGTATCAAGCAGTGTATCAAAAAAGGGATCAGCCATGACAACGGAGGATTGTATATACTGGCGAGTAATGTGACGCCCGAGATTGTGGAAGCGTCAGTATACAACCGTTGTGGTGTATTTGGATGCAAGTGCCGCATAACATATAATGCCAACCCGTCGGATGATTATTCGAATCCCATGCGGGCCTCATCAGGTTGCCGGGAGATAGTTTGAAGATGAGATTGCATATCAAATTTGCAGAATGGGCGTTCACAGCGACTTGATTCCGATCGGCAGCAAAACTTACACGGATGGAAATGTTAAGAAGGAGCCAGACGGATGTATTCGCCCACGATCTCTCTCTCTCCGAGAAGAACTACAAAATGGCCAACGCCCATTGTGGAATGCGGTTTGTCTGAAAGTCTGGCCCAGTTGCCAATTGACGCAGGCGTATGGATTGGAAGATCTGAGACAGAGGTGAAAGTAGTGATTTTAATCTCTATGACGAAGAACCGAGACGAAATGGTTGAGGAGAAGTGGACTCCCGGCAGCACAACCCAAACAAGATCAAGTACTTGGTTTCCCCCCGTTAGGGACCAGGATCATGGGCTCGACCAGGCGACAGTATCTCCATGGAAAATGACTCGCGGCATCAGTCAATGTAGAAGCACCACTTTTGACATGGTTTGGTTGTCACACATTGTCCGTTCAGGTTGTGTTGAGAGCTCTGCTGTGAGACCGATAAAAGTGCCCTTTTATTCGTTGAAATGCTCAGTCTAAATTGGCATCGCCATGTCACTATCTTGCCGATTCGGACATGGACCTTGGTAATGAGGTCATTCCATCAGCGGCAAATGATATCCGTATATCCATAGCTCCTTGGGAGATATAGGTTGCACTTTGTTATGCCGGCAGTACGCCCTGTCGGTTATGGAACACATCATCCGGGTCCAAATAGCCTTTAATCTGAACTCATCCTTCCCAGATTACTCCCCCAGTATGACTGACGTGGGCTTTCTAGTCTTGGATCTACGTACCCCTGATATACGCTAATACCGATACCTGGCATGGAATTCCTGAGAACTTCATTAAGCCCGGCCAAAAGTTTATATATTGATATTGAGACCGAACCCAAACTAATTGCATACGACTACATCCAAAAGAGTACGTCACGGTGTGCGTACCCTGTCGCATCCATTCGCTCGTCGTTGATAGCAAATGCTTCCAGACGTTGAGCTTCCATTTGAGGCAATTCATTTTGAATGCCATGATACCCCATTTCCCCGAGCTTCTGCTTCACTGAAGTACCTCTCTGGATGTAATATAGTATGTTGATGCTAAGACATGTCTGCCTGCATATACTCTCAACTACCTATCATGTTTTACTACCAGAAGGTCCATCGTATTCTGCTAATCACATGCCAAGTTCTAAGGAACCTGTTCCATCACTTCCTAGTAATGTCGGTAAAGCCGACTGCGGTAGATGGCAAGGTCCTCACAAGGACATTGCCAGTACTGCCAATAGCCTCTGCGTAATATTTCACATCGCTTGTAGGAAGGTACTCGCTCTCCCTGAGGAAAGTTGTTTCAAATGATGTTCTGGCTTGCTCACCAAGATACTGCGCCTCGTTGGAGTCACCACCTTCTTGAACCTGGTAGAACTTCCAGGCCTTGGTCTCCGTATCTCCATTCCACGAAACATACAACCTAGTTGTATTGGCCGAATCCACATAGGCCGCCAGAGCCGGAGCTTCACTCGGTGTCCCAGTCCAATTAGCTAGAAATCCACGGTAACTGACCGCGTCTTCGATAAACGCATGATAAAGGATTTTATTGTCAGCACTGAATTGCGTGAAGGCGCCTGCCGACCCCCAGCTAACAAATAGGTTGTCGTTCGAAAGCAATTGGGCGTTACCCTGAGAATTAGCCTGCAGCTCATAAGGGGCAGTGGCTTTTCGCAGGACAGTTGCGGTATTATCCGTGTGATTGAGCTGGACAAACAAGGCTCTGGAGACGTTGTTGAAAGTGATGTGACCGTTGCCTGAGTTGTCGAAGAAAGATATTACCTCGATGCTGTCGGATTGTGATCGCCAACGGGCGTCATGCTGGAATCCGAATGTGAAATCGTGAGTAAATGTCGAATGATTGCCGCCCAGCTGCCAGATGATGGAGCCGTCGGTTCCGTTGATCTTGAAGATTGTACTGAAGTGTCGCGAAGAAACGAGGTAGTTGCCATCGTCGTCTTTGTCAACGCTGTTGATGTGAACGTAATCCCAGGTTTGGGCTGACGAGAGTCCGCTGTTGCTAGCGGATCCGCCCAATGGGTTCAGGGAATCTAGATGTCATACAGTGAGAAGGAGTC